CACACCAACTGTGTGTAACATCCTGAATAACAAGGCCACACCAACTGTATGTAACACCCTGAATAACAAGGCCACACCAACTGTATGGAACACCCTGAAAAACAAAACCACACCAACTGTATGTAACACCCTGAATAACAAGGCCACGCCAACTGTATGTAACACCCTGAATAACAAGGCCACACCTACTGTGTGTAACACCCTGAATAACAAGGCCACACCAACTGTGTGTAACATCCTGAATAACAAGGCCACACCAACTGTATGTTACACCCTGAGTAACAAGACCACACCAACTGTGTGTAACATCCTGAATAACAAGGCCACACCAACTGTGTATAACATCCTGAATAACAAGGCCACACCAACTGTATGTTACACCCTGAGTAACAAGACCACACCAACTGTGTGTAACATCCTGAATAACAAGGCCACACCAACTGTATGTAACACCCTGAATAACAAGGCCACACCAACTGTATGTAACACCCTGAAAAACAAAACCACACCAACTGTATGTAACACCCTGAATAACAAGGCCACGCCAACTGTGTGTAACACCCTGAATAACAAGGCCACACCTACTGTGTGTAGCACCCTGAATAACTAGGCCACACCAACTGTGTGTAACACCCTGAATAACAAGGCCACACAAACTGTATGTAACACCCTGAATAACAAGGCCACACCAACTGTATGTAACACCCTGAGTAACAAGGCCACACCAACTCTGTGTAACACCCTGAGTAACAAGGCCACACCAACTGTGTGTAACACCCTGAATAACAAGGCCACACCAACTGTGTGTAACACCCTGAATAACAAGGCCACACCAACTGTGTGTAACACCCTGAGTAACAAGGCCACACCAACTGTGTAACACCCTGAATAACAAGGTCACACCATCTGTGTGGAACACCCTGAATAACAAGGCTATACCAAGTGTGTAACACCCTGAATAACAAGGCCACACTAACTGTGTGTAACACCCTGAATAACAAGACCACACCAACTGTATGTAACACCCTGAATAACAAGGCCACACCAACTGTGTGTAACACCCTGAATAACAAGGCAACACCAACTGTGTAGCACCCTGAATAACAAGACCACACCAACTGTATGTAGCACCCTGAATAACAAGGCCACACCAACTGTATGTAACACCCTGAATAACAAGGCTATACCAAGTGTGTAGCACCCTGAATAACAAGGTCACATCAACTGTCTAACACCCTGAATAACAAGGTCACACCAACTGTGTGTAACACCCTGAATAACAAGACCACACAAACTGTATGTAACACCCTGAATAACAAGGCCACACCAACTGTATGTAACACCCTGAATAACAAGGCCAACCAAGTGTGTAGCACCCTGAATAACAAGACCACACCAACTGTGTAACACCCTGAATAACAAGGTCACACCATCTGTGTGGAACACCCTGAATAACAAGGCCACACCAACTGTATGTAGCACCCTGAATAACAAGGCCACACCAACTGTGTGTAACACCCTGAATAACAAGACCACACCTACTGTGTGTAACACCCTGAATAACAAGGCCACACCAACTGTATGTAACACCCTGAATAACAAGGCCACACCAACTGTATGTAACACCCTGAATAACAAGGCCACACCAACTGTGTAGCACCCTGAATAACAAGGCCACACCAACTGTGTAGCACCCTGAATAACAAGGCCACACCAACTGTGTAGCACCCTGAATAACAAGGCCACACCAACTGTGTGTAACATCCTGAATAACAAGGCCACACAAACTTTGTGATTCTGAATTCTAAAGGTCGGCCGTTTTGGCATAAAAATGTACTAAATTAATACCTGGCAACTGGCAACTGATATTGTATTCATATGCTGGACCTAGTTGGGAATTCCCATAGTCTGATCAAACAGGGTTTGAAAAAGTTATAAATGGCAAGTAATATCAGTGTTGAAAAAACCTGCCTGCCCGACAGACCGAGACAGTCTATATTGGACGGTCAGTCTTTAAAAGTTGCATGTCTGTCAGTGTAACAGGTAAATTAACTGTAAACGTTAAAAACATAATGGATGAATAAAATTTCAATGAGTTAAAGATACTAAGTTGACAATCTACCAGTTTATTTTCTGAGAACTAACATTAAACAATAATATTCTTATGTTTACCCTTTTCTTACTCTTGTTCGTTAATCTAGAAAATTCTGGACTGGCAACATTTTATCTGGTCTGGTAACGTTGCAAAGTTGCCAGTCCGATTGTCTGGGTGAAATTTTAGGGAATTTTTACACTGGTAATAAGTTAAATACTAAACTCACTCGTCAAATACCAATACTATTCACATGTTAAAATTATATTACACGAGAGCTTGTTTAGTATTCTATAGTTCTGAATACTTGTATTTATTTTGTGGCTCCCACTGTGCACTTTGTGTGTTCACATGGCCAACATCTCCACGTGGCATGTTTAGCTGTGGCTTCATATAAACACAAATATTGGCACAAGATTCTATTGTGATAAAATAGGAGTTCTAAGTGTGTTCTTCACGCACAGAGAACCTCTTCTTAATCATGCCACGTACATTTTAACAGTACACTGAGAAACAAGGAATTTTTAATCCTTAAATGCTAATTGGGCTCTGTTCATAAGTCAAAACTTGCAAGTGTTTGAATCAAAAGGGTCCAAAAGGGTCCAAAGGGTCCATATCATAGCTTGTTCTCTGGAGTTAATTTCTGGTGCCTGATACTTGTCCAACTTTCATACTTTTGTCAACGTACTCATGTTAAATACAGTATCTCCCTTGTCAGATTGTCCGATGCCAACTGTGGCGTGAAGGTAATTCAGCTGGATTGCAATATGGCATGCAACCTAGATGGTGTCAAGGAGTTGAAGACAACCACTTCAGCTGATTCCTCACACGGTGGATGCAGCACAGCTCGATCTAATCAGACCAGCTGGCGATCGACCTGTGCTGGCTCGAGGTTGGACACTAATGACTACATGACTCCACCATACAAATATTTGAACTCTGTTTCAAACCAGATGTTTAGGCTGTAACCATCTAACTTTACACTTTGTTGTGATACTATCTAAAAAGTAAAAGCAAGTGATTTTACACATATCAATACAACTGCAATACTAATGAAATTGTTTACAGACACCCATTCTTGCCGTAAAAGGCGACTATGCTTGTTGTAAGAGGTGACTAACAGGATCGGGTGATCAGACTTGCTGACGTTGGTGATTGTCATCGTATCCCAATTGTGTGGATTGATGCTCATGATATCAATCACAGGATTGTCTGATCCAGACAGACTCCATTATTTACAGAGTGCCGTCATACAGCTGTAATATTGGTGAGTGTGGCGTTAAACAACAAACAAACAGTGAGTGAGTGAGTGAGTTGGGTTTAACGCCGCTTTTAACATTATTCCAGTTATATCACAGCGTGTCAGCTTAATGTGGGAGGAAAGTCCGAAGTGATGCAGGTCACAGACGTTTACCACTTCGGTGAAACCCACGAGCAGGGGTATGGTGCTGACAAACCTAGAAACATAATTAGGGGGAACCGGGATTCGAACCCACAATCATAGGTTTCAGGTGTGTCCAAGGGATGCAACTCTGCACAGCGAATTGCGGTGCCTTAGATAACTGGGGCACCCGTGCCCCCAACAAACAAACAAACAAACGATTGCAATACTAATGTAACAGTACTGCAATAGTAGAAATGCCCCTGATTGTCACAACAACAAGATACTGAACAGATTAAGAATCACAGGGCTAATTTCACCTTTAACATGAAAACAACTGTACAGAGGAAGGCCCAACACAAATCTGTAAAGACACTGAGAAACACACTGGGGCCTTTATTAGCTGCTATGAACATGCTAAATCAGTATCAATGATAGCTTCTGATTCCCTCTGCTACACAGGCTTAATCCACTGAGCATAGGCAATCATGCCAAACAGTCTATCTCAGAATAATCACAGACAAATCAGATCAGGTTGGGGACACAATGAAGTGGATCGGGATAGGCAGAGGCTGTGGTGACAGGCCTCCACTGCTGGGGATAGGCACATGACCTACAGCACCGACAGTGTTGACAGAGGCTTCTACTGCTGGTGATTGGCACAGGGCCTACAGCACAGACAGTGGTGACAGAGGCCTCTACTGCTGGTGATTGGCACAAGGCCTACAGCACAGACAGTGGTGACAGAGGCCTCTACTGCTGGGGATAGGCTCAGGGCCTACAGCACAGACAGTGATGACAGAGGCCTCTACTGCTGGTGATTGGCACAAGGCCTACAGCACAGACAGTGGTGACAGAGGCCTCTACTGCTGGGGATAGGCACAGGGCCTACAGCACAGACAGTGGTGACAGAGGCCTCTACTGCTGGTGATAAGCACAAGGCCTACAGCACAGACAGTGGTGACAGAGGCCTCTACTGCTGGGGATAGGAACATGGCCTACAGCACAGACAGTGGTGACAGAGGCCTCTACTGCTGGGGATAGGCACAGGGCCTACAGCACAGACAGTGGTGACAGAGGCCTCTACTGCTGGGGAGAGGCACATGGCCTACAGCACAGACAGTGGCAACAGAGGCCTCTACTGCTGGGGATAGGAACATGGCCTACAGCACAGACAGTGGTGACAGAGGCCTCTACTGCTGGGGATAGGAACATGGCCTACAGCACAGACAGTGGTGACAGAGGCCTCTACTGCTGGGGATAGGAACATGGCCTACAGCACAGACAGTGGTGACAGAGGCCTCTACTGCTGGGGATAGGCACAGGGCCTACAGCACAGACAGTGGTGACAGAAACCTCTACTGCTGGGGATAGGCACAGGGCCTACAGCACTGACTGTATTACAGGGAACAGTCAAGTGTCTACAGTCATCTCTTCACCAAGATCATTAAAATACAAAAGGCTAAAGACACTTATGACATTCTAATCTCATGATAGACCAACTAACAGAATGTCTCAGTCACTCACCAGTTGTGTGAAGAAGCTGGTTTCTTTTGGTTTCTCAGAGTACCTCTCGTACTGATCCAGACTGTCCTGCAGTTTGAGCGTCAGCGTGTCGTAGTTACTCTTCACAACCTCCAGCACCTGGAACACCACAAGGGCAAAGTCATATCAGGGGTGGAGTTACGTGTCATATCAGGGGTGGAGTTTCGTGTCATATCAGAGGTGGAGTTACGTGTCATATCAGGGGTGGAGTTTCGTGTCATATCAGAGGTGGAGTTACGTGTCATATCAGGGGTGGAGTTTCGTGTCATATCAGGGGTGGAGTTTCGTGTCATTATCAGGGGTGGAGTTTTGTGTCATATAAGGGGTGGAGTTTTGTGTCATATCAGGGGTGGAGTTTTGTGTCATATTAGGGGTGGAGTTTTGTGTCATTATCAGGGGTGGAGTTTTGTGTCATATCGGGGGTGGAGTTTCATGTCATATCAGGGGTGGAGTTTCGTGTCATATTAGGGGTGGAGTTTCATGTCATATCAGGGGTGGAGTTTTGTGTCATATCAGGGGTGGAGTTTCATGTCATATCAGGGGTCGAGTTTTGTGTCATATCAGAGGTGGAGTTTCATGTCATATCAGGGGTGGAGTTTCTTGTCATATCAGGGGTGGAGTTTCGTGTCATATCAGGGGTGGAGTTTCGTGTCATATTAGGGGTGGAGTTTTGTGTCATATCAAGGGTGGAGATCGTGTCATATCAGGGGTGGAGTTTTGTGTCATATCAGAGGTGGAGTTACATGTCATATCAGGGGTGGAGTTTCGTGTCATATTAGGGGTGGAGTTTTGTGTCATATCAGGGGTGGAGTTTTGTGTCATATCAGAGGTGGAGTTACGTGTCATATCAGGGGTGGAGTTTCGTGTCATATTAGGGGTGGAGTTTCTTGTCATATCAGGGGTGGAGATCGTGTCATATCAGGGGTGGGGTTTTGTGTCATATAAGAGGTGGGGTTTTGTGTCATATTAGGGGTGGAGTTTTGTGTCATATCAGGGGTGGAGTTTTGAGTCACATCAGGGGTGGAGTTTTGTGTCATATCAGGGGTGGAGTTTTGTGTCATATCAGGGGTGGAGTTTTGAGTCACATCAGGGGTGGAGTTTTGTGTCATATCAGGGTTGGGGTTTTGTGTCATATTAGGGGTGGGGTTTTGTGTCATATTAGGGGTGGAGTTTTGTGTCATATCAGGGGTGGAGTTTCGTGTCATATCAGGGGTGGAGTTACATGTCATATCAGGGGTGGAGTTTCATGTCATATCAGGGGTGGAGTTTCATGTCATATCAGGGATGGAGTTTCGTGTCATATTAGGGGTGGAGTTTTGTGTCATATCAGAGGTGGAGTTTCATGTCATATCAGGGGTCGAGTTTTGTGTCATATCAGGGGTGGAGTTTCATGTCATATCAGGGATGGAGTTTCGTGTCATATTAGGGGTGGAGTTTCTTGTCATATCAGGGGTGGAGTTTTGTGTCATATCAGGGGTGGAGTTTCGTGTCACTTCAGGGGTGGAGTTTCTTGTCATATCAGGGGTCGAGTTTCGTGTCATATCAGGGGTGGAGTTTCGTGTCACATCAGGGGTGGAGTTTCGTGTCATTTCGTATCTCGGTAAATTTGTATCTCAGCACTTTCGTCACCTCTAGTTTTTGCATCTCATCAGTTTCATATACCTTCATCAGTTTCATAACCCGTTATATGTTTCATGCATTGCAGTGAGTGAGTTAAAATTTAACGTTGCATCAGCATTATTTCAGCCATATAGCGACTAATTTATTGAGTCATTGTCGTACAAACACAAATTTGCTTGTCCCTTAGACCTTCACTCACTTTCTGATACAAACACTAGCCATGTTAACAGTTGACAAAGTTCAATATGTCAATGTCTGAAGCGTTTTTTGTTTTGGTAAGTTTTTTTATTTTCATATGTACTGGTGATATTTCATCGTGCATATGATAACTTTAACCATTAAATTAGGATTGTTCTTATCCTACATATAACTATATTTATTGAAGTAATAAGTAAAAGTTATATGTCATGGTAGAAACTGACTGCACAGGTCATCGTTGTTGATCGTTCACATTTAAGGACATAAGTAACGAAACTGCCGAAGGGACACGAAACTGCCGAGATACGAAATGACCTATTACAATCAGGGGCCACAATAGAGTGGAAAGTAGTCATGATAATGATCATCCCAGTTTACAACATCTTGTTATGAAACAAGCCTTTGCTATCTATTATTTACCAGCTTTAGCAACACATGTGGTATCACTATGTCTGAGGGCCCACAAGGGTGAACTGATTAGACACAAAATAACACAGAAATGGCCGAGTTCTTGTAAATAATGACATTTTCAGTACTTAAAATGTCAGTTGTGAGCGATGGAAGATAAGCATCATAAGACATGTAAGTTTTTTTTCTGTTGTCTGAATACACGACCATGTTTGTCTCATCATCCTCATACTAAGTTAGTTGGCTTTCAGCAGACTAAAAACTATAGTGTTGTTCAGACAATCATTATAACCCACGTCCACTTTTTGTTGTTGAGGTAAGTGGTTCCGTAAACCAATGAGAAAACAAGGTATTTCACTAAGAATGAGTGAGTGAGTTTGACATAGAACAGTGTTCCCGTTGAATATAACAGCTTGTCAGCTTCATGCTAGAGGAAAGTCTGAAGTGATCGAGGTCACAGACGTTTGCTACTTTGGTGAAACCGACAAACCAAGAAATATAATCGGGGCGAATCTGGATTTGATATATTTACAACAAAAATAATCATTAATTACAAACTCACTAAATTCCTTCTTGTCTACAAAACATATCTTTACATGGTTTATGCACAACAACAAAAACTTTTAATGCAAATTTTGATAAACAAAAGACAAGCCCACAACTTGCAGAATTTCTTTGCAGACTTTCCTTGGACGTTCAGATAAAGCAGTTGTTAAACACAAAATGATAAACTGTACGGCTGAAACCAATGTTCTGTTCCACAGAAAGATGACTACAGACAATGATATCTAAAGCCATAGTTACCTGCTCTTCTGTGAGGGAGGACAAATGGTTGGCAGCGGCCCAGGAATCTACTTTTGGTGTAAAGTGGTTGATGATAGCTCTGAAGTAAAACAAGAGTTATCAGTCATTCCAAAAGAAACGCTAAATCAGGAACAATGTGTCAAAGTAATAGGTGTGACAGGTACTGTATCCTGTATGGGGGAAACCATGTCATAAATGATTGTTTAATGACACCCAGCAATATTCCAGCTATATGATGGCAGACTGTGATTAATCAAGTCTGGGCCAACTTGCACAAAGCCATCTTAAAGCTAAGATGATCTTAACTCCCATACTTTAACACAGACATACTACTGTCATAGCACTAAGATAGCTTTGTGGCCCAGGGCCCATGCCAGACAATCTAGTGTTTGTCATCATAAGCATCGATTTACGCAATTAGGATATGCTGATTAAAATTTCAAAGTTTGTGCCACATGTTACTTTTGTAAACAATGACTACCTAACAACTGTACAGTCAGTTACGCCAATTAATTCATCATTCATTTAAGTTCATCTGGAGTGAGTGAGTGAGTGAGTGAGTGAGTGAGTGAGTGAGTGAGTTGGGTTTAACGGTGCTTATTACAATATTCAAGTTATATCATGGTGGGTCAGCTTCATGAGGGAGGAAAGCCTGCAGTGATGCAGGTCTGAGAGGTTTACCACTCCAGTCAAACCCACAAGCATGAGTAAGATGATGACAGACCTAGAAACATAATCCGGCGAACTGGGATTCGAACCCACAACCATAGGTTTCTGCAAGAGCCCAAAGGAGACAACTCTGCACAGCAAATTGAGCTGCCTTAGACAACAGGGCCACCCTGCCCCCGAAGTTCATTTGGAAAACAAAGTGCATGAGTGTTTTACGCCGCACTCAGCAATATTCCAGCCATATGACGACAGCCTGTAAACAATCAAGTCTGGACCAGGTGATCCAGTGATTGATATTGTGAGCAACGATCCATACACGCAAAGATCCAAGTCATGAGCGTGACTACCCGATCCGTTTGGTCGCCTCTTACAACCAGCAAAACATGGAATCCCCACAGGGTCAATTCTGTACACGTCTTGCCGTCTGCTGAAATGTCAGAGCATCATGTGCTTCTGAAGCTTGATCATGTCATACTCCATCAGTCCTGTGCTTCAGTTGTTTGCGGATACTTACTCCTCAACTGTAAGTTTAATGTAAGCATAAGGTGTGAACATGTGCGGGGTTGCAGGATGATGGTTGCCGTACCTGACATTCACAAGATGGTTGGTGAGTCTGGCTGCTGAATCCCTGTGCTCACTGTCATTGGTGGTGTAACGTAGTGCTGAAATACATCAGACATATAGACATATAAAGTGTGTTGTTTACTTTACATGAGAAGCAAATGACTGCAGCAGGGGTTTACAGTTTACACCATTTTCAATTAAAAAAAACTTATCAATTTGTAACCAAGCATGTCACTATTTATGATTGTTTGTTTGTTTATTGCTTAATGCCATACTCAGCAATATTCCAGCTATATGAGGGTGGTCTGTAAATAATCGGGTCTGGGCCAGACAATCCAATGATTGACATCATGAGCATCGATCTACACAAGTTGGATGCAATGACATGCATCAACCAAGTCATTGAGCTTGACCACCCGATCCTGTTAGTCACCTTTTACGATAAGCATAGTCGCCTGTTACGGCAAGCATGGGTTGCTGAAGACTTATTCCAACCCGGATCTTCACGGGGTCAATCCACAAGTAGACACACAGACAGTCATTGTGACCACCCAATCTCCTATTTAATCAGCTTTTGCAAAGACTGCAGAAAAGACATTCATGCTAACAAAATCATACTAACATGTTGTTCTCGAATCATGGATAAATTGATGTATTTTTCATGTTATCAAGGACTGTGATGTATGTTTCTACTGTCATGTTGTGTGGCAGGTGACTTACCCATGGAGTAGAGGTTGTCAAAGACTTGATGCATGCGGACCAGTTCGTAGTACAACTCATCGTAGCTGTTGGGGTTGGGTAGAAACGTATCCCCATAGGTGATGAACAAGTTGAACACATTTACAACCTGCAAGGGGGAAACAGTTGCTACATCATCTAGTAGGCGTACAGAGTCAAGAGTGTCACGTTAATCATGCTTTGTATGATCCGAGTTTGTTAAATGCTGCATTCAGAAACAGTCCAGCCCTATGACAATGGTCTGTCAATATACATGTAGTCTGGACCAAACAAACCAGTGTCGGATGATATGAGTAGTCAGGGGAGTGTTGCTTCTTTGTTTGTTTGTTTGTTGTTTAACGCCCCACTCAGCAATATTCCAGCTATATGACGGTGGTCTGTAAATAATCGAGTCTAGACCAGACAATCCACTGATTGATATCATATTCCAGCTATATGACAACAGTCTGTAAATATGGTAAATAACCGAGTCTGGACCAGACAAACTAGTGATTGATATCATGAGCATTGATCAACACAATTGGAATACGATGACATGCATCAACCAAGTCAGTGAGTCTGACCACCTGATCTCTCTAGTTGCTTAATCACGAAAGCAAAATCGTCTTTTACAACATGCATGGGTTGCTGAAGATCTTTTCTAACCCCGATTTTCACAGGTCCCGTTGCTTCTAACAACAAGTATATGTTGATTTGGGACCAATTCTAATTTGGAATCCCCCAGGGTCAACATTATTTCAGTTAGGTATGCTTCATGTGGACATAAGTGATGCAGAGAGCTGACGTTTACCACTGTAAACCCAGGAGTTGACCTCCCAATTAAAATTTTCCAACAATTGGGGTGAATCTGGTGCATCAGCAGATCCTGGCACAACTAGGGGAGGCACCTGCAAATGGATGCCATCCTATCCCCTTGGATGCTGAGATCAATGTTCAGTGCTAGAACAAGAACTTGAATAAAACATTTCCTATCATCAATTGAAGATCTATTTGATTTGAATGCAGTTTAAATGTGAATGAATAACAAAAAAATCTCACCTTAGAACAAAGATGAAAGATGTTATGTTTTTTTACAAGCTGCGACTCATGAGACATAATGAACTTCAGGAGGTTGATGAGAGCTGAGGGAAAAATACAGACAAGTAATAAGATGCGTGATCTTTTCATTCTCTTAATTAATGGACAACTATCTTATTACCAACCGATGAGCTGCAATATAATAGCTGTTTTGATCAAATCTTTATCAAGGAATGACCACATGAAAAACGTAAAAACTACAAAAGCTAATCAACATCTCGTAATAGAAATACTATTTCTTGTTACTTGTATCTTTCCTTGAAGAAAGTATCTGTCCAGATAAAACCTGTTCCATCTAGTTTTGCCAGGCATTGAACAGAGGTTACAAAATATTACCTTTAAAAAAATGCTGAGTTTGACCAAACATGGTCTATGAACCTGTTTTTCACTATTTCTTATAACTTTTCTTGTTGATATTAACCTCAAATCAAAGCAATAACTGTAACATTAACATTTGCTTTCTTTCAGATTTGTTGGTACATAACCAAAAGGTTATCCTAAGCAATAGAACCAGTTGGCCTGGTGTTCTGTAAACACTAGAGGACAATGGACAGGTATAGGTGTCATCCTGTATGTAGTCATCTTACCTGTCCACATCTCCTTCCAAGGATGCTGTATCCGCACACGGCATCGCTTCTGGTAACACAGCACCCGGTGGATGATGCCCAGACACCGCCTACATCATCATCATCATCATCATCATCATCATCACGACTTTTATCAATCATCATCACCACCACATTCATCATCAGCATCAGCTTCACAAATCATCATCAACATCAGAAGCAGCAGCAGCAACAACATTACCTTCATCATTCATCATAACCACCACATCAAGGAGTAAAGATTCTAAAATACTTTATTATCAAAATACTCCATGTCTATAACTCTAAAAACCTGGACCCAACACCCCCAAACTGGGAAAAAACATTGACAGAGTCACAGATGTGTTGCAGGAAGTTATTACTGAGTCATATTTATTTTATTCTTTTATCATTTCAAGAAATCCTTAATATTCTATCAATTGATGGAATGTAATTTCATTCATCTCAAAAGCACTAGACAATGACGCAACCCTACTCCCTGCAACCACTGTGACCTGTCCAGTCATGACCTCATGGCAGGCCAACTTCAGGAGGGGGACGCAGACAGGGACCACAGCCCTAGTTATAGACATGGTGACCGACCAAGCATCAGGACAATGACCGTTGGATGTGACCTGTCCAGTCATGACCTCATGGCAGGCCAACTTCAGGAGGGGGACACAGACAGGGACCACAGCCCTAGTTATAGACATAGTGACCGACCAAGCATCAAGACAATGACCGTTGGATGTGGAGCTAAGGGAAGTAACTCTGCGCAGGGAGTTCTTGTACCTCGGACAACTACTAGGCACAAGGTCATCATTTAAGAATCTTAATCAATGTTGATCTTTTAAAACATTTATCACTAAATGATTTCATTACAGTGTCAAAAGCATGAAATGATACCTTCACAATCACACAGAAAGTAAGGACATAAGGATACTGGTGAGAGTCACAATCACACAGAAAGTAAGGACATAAGGTTGGTTGGTTGGTTTATTGTTAAACGCCGCACTCAGCAATATTCCAGCTATATGACGGCGGTCTGTAAATAATAGAGTCTGGACCAGACAATCCAGTGATTGATATCATGAGCATCGATCCACGCAATTGGGATCGATGAAACGCTTCAACCAAGTCAGCGAGCCTGACCACCCGATCCTGTTAGTCGCCTTTTACGACAAGCATAGTCGCATTTTACGGCAAGCATGGGTTGCAGAAGACCTATTCTACCTCGGATCTTCACTGGTCTAAGGGCATAGGACACTGGTGAGAGTCACAATCACACAGAAAGTAAGGACATAAGGACACTGGAGAGAGTCACAACCACACAGAAAGTAAGGACATAAGGACAGTGGAGAGAGTCACAATCACACAGAAAGTAAGGACATAAGGACACTGGAGAGAGTCACAATCACACAGAAAGTAAGGACATAAGGACACTGGAGAGAGTCACAACCACACAGAAAGTAAGGACATAAGGACAGTGGAGAGAGTCACAATCACACAGAAAGTAAGGACATAAGGACACTGGTGAGAGTCACAATCACACAGAAAGTAAGGACATAAGGACACTGGAGAGAGTCACAACCACACAGAAAGTAAGGACATAAGGACAGTGGAGAGAGTCACAATCACACAGAAAGTAAGGACATAAGGACACTGGTGAGAGTCACAATCACACAGAAAGTAAGGACATAAGGACACTGGAGAGAGTCACAACCACACAGAAAGTAAGGACATAAGGACAGTGGAGAGAGTCACAATCTCACAGAAAGTAAGGACATAAGGACACTGGAGAGAGTCACAACCACACAGAAAGTAAGGACATAAGGACACTGGTGAGAGTCACAATCACACAGAAAGTAAGGACATAAGGACACTGGAGAGAGTCACAACCACACAGAAAGTAAGGACATAAGGACAGTGGAGAGAGTCACAATCTCACAGAAAGTAAGGACATAAGGACACTGGAGAGAGTCACAACCACACAGAAAGTAAGGACATAAGGACACTGGTGAGAGTCACAATCACACAGAAAGTAAGGACATAAGGACACTGGTGAGAGTCACAATCACACAGAAAGTAAGGACATAAGGACACTGGTGAGAGTCACAATCACACAGAAAGTAAGGACATAAGGACACTGGAGAGAGTCACAACCACACAGAAAGTAAGGACATAAGGACAGTGGAGAGAGTCACAATCACACAGAAAGTAAGGACATAAGGACACTGGTGAGAGTCACAATCACACAGAAAGTAAGGACATAAGGACACTGGAGAGAGTCACAACCACACAGAAAGTAAGGACATAAGGACAGTGGAGAGAGTCACAATCTCACAGAAAGTAAGGACATAAGGACACTGGAGAGAGTCACAACCACACAGAAAGTAAGGACATAAGGACACTGGTGAGAGTCACAATCACACAGAAAGTAAGGACATAAGGACACTGGAGAGAGTCACAACCACACAGAAAGTAAGGACATAAGGACACTGGTGAGAGTCACAATCACACAGAAAGTAAGGACATAAGGACACTGGAGAGTGTGACAGGGAAGCAAGCTCAACTCACAGGTAAAGTTCCATGGGGAAAGTTTTCATCATGTGGCTCATGACGAACTCCACCAATAAATCTGCAACAACAACAAATACATCAAACAAAAAATTAACGTGTGTATGGTCATCAGAGAAGAGTTGTTTGTTTGTTTGTTGTTTAATGCCACACTCAGCAATATTCCAGCTATATGGCATCCTGTTAACATGGTAAATAATCGAATGTGGACCAGACAATCCAGTGACTGACATTCAACTATTCACCTCTTACATCAAGCATAGTTGCCTCTTGGGGCGGTCGGGTAGCCCAGTGGTTAAAGCATTCGCTCGTCACGCCGAAGACCCGGGTTCGAATCCCGACATGGGTACAATGTGTGAAGCCCATTTCTGGTGTCCCCTGCCGTGATATTGCTGGAATATTGCTAAAAGCGGCGTAAAACCATACTCACTCACTAACTAGTTGCCTCTAACTCAGATTTTCACGGGTCCATCAGAGAAGAATTAAATAATAATAGATAAATAAACATCATAAACAAATCATCATGAAAAAACCTCTTATTGTAATGTACTTTCTCTAATGACCTTTTATCTTTGGCACTGGATTTATATTTAGACATGTAGTGATCTGATGTATTGTCAAACATAGAAAGGTATCAAAGTCTGATCAGTAGGTACTAGAGACAGGTATTGGATGTTTAAAGTGTATCACAATATTTATAATGCACAAGGCCGTATTGCCATACATATTACAATATATTGTATAATTCAAAATTTTGAATTCAGAAGCAATTTGAAACATCAATGCAGGAATTGAAGTTCATATATGGAACAAAACAAGATCCTGGAACAGCATAATGTTTACTCATTCAATAAATAAGCTGCAGGACAGTGATGGCTTGGTGTTACACCACTGCCACAGAAAGACTCACGAATGCAATCTGACATTTTGGAATTACGGCAACATTTCAAAGGTTCATGTATTTGGCAAGTGTATAACATTAAACACATGATAAAAATCGCTATTTGAAAACACCCGATATACCGAGCATTAAAACATGATATTGTGTTATGTATCATGGAAAAGAACAAAACTCAATTTACCGATATACCTGTAATACTGCACACCCTTAGCAGGTAGAAATGTCTTGAATAATGAGTGTGTATTTGGATGATCAAACACTGCTTTAAACTTTCAGTAATCATATCGGAGAAAAGTCCAAAGTGTAACAGAGATGGATATTAATAGTATCGATGAAACCCGAGGATGAGAGTATGGACCTGAGAAACCAAGGATCAGAAGCCCCAGATGAGGGGTGGAGCTCTGCTGCATCTTACACTGATGAGTCTACTGGGCCACCTGACCCTTCATCACAGTCACATGTCACCTCACCTAGCAATGAGCACACCAAGGGGTGGAGCTCTGCTGCTTACACTGATGAGTCTACTGGGCCACCTGACCCTTCATCACAGTCACATGTCACCTCACCTAGCAATGAGCACACCAAGGGGTGGAGCTCTGCTTCAGCTTACACTGATGAGTCTACTGGGCCACCTGACCCTTCATCACAATCACATGTCACCTCACCTAGCAATGAGCACACCAAGGGGTGGAGCTCTGCTGCATCTTACACTGATGAGTCTACTGGGCCACCTGACCCTTCATCACAGTCACATGTCACCTCACCTAGCAATGAGCACACCAAGGGGTGGAGCTCTGCTGAAGCTAACACTGATGAGTCTACTGGGCCACCTGACCTTCATCACAGTCACATGTCACCTCACCTAGCAATGAGCACACCAAGGGGTGGAGCTCTGCTGCTGCTTACACTGATGATTCTACTGGGCCACCTGACCCTTCATCACAGTCACATGTCACCTCACCTAGCAATGAGCACACCAAGGGGCGAAGAATCATCGTCCTGTCCGCTTTCACTTTCCGGTGCCGCATCGGCTGCAGGTACAGAGAAATGACAAACTCAGACAGACTACTGACATGTGTGACTAATGACAACATACAACTTAATTTTGATAGGGATAATAACATATATCATTCTATTTAAAAATAATGAAGAATCATTTTTGGTTATCATGGAAAGACACACATATATCTAGCCAAAGTGGAGTGATCACATGATCACATTAACTACTAACACATATCACTAATGAACAGTAGTACCAAGGATGACAGCAGGGCCCCATTCCACAAAGTGATCGTACTGCTAAGATGATCGTAACTCCCATACTTTAACACAGACTTACGACAGTCATAGCGCTAAGATGATCGTAACTCCCATACTTTAACACAGGCTTAAGAGTCGTAGCTCTAAGATGATCGTAACTCCCATACTTTAACACAGGCTTACGACAGTCATATTGCTAAGATGATCGTAACTCCCATACTTTAACACAGGCTTAAGACAGTTGTAGCGCTAAGATGATCGTAACTCCCTTCCTTTTTAACACAGGCTTACGACAGTCATATTGCTAAGATGATCGAAACTCCCATACTTTAACACAGGCTTATGACTGTCGTATTGCTAAGATGATCGTAACTCCCATACTTTAACACAGGCTTATGACAGTCATATTGCTAAGATGATCGTAACTCCCATACTTTAACACAGGCTTATGACAGTCATATTGCTAAGATGATCGTAACTCCCATACTTTAACACAGGCTTATGACTGTCGTATTGCTAAGATGATTGTAACTCCCATACTTTAACACAGACTTATGACTGTCATAGCACTACGATCGCTTTGTGTAACGGAGTCCAGTTCTATGGTTCTGTGATTAAGTGAGTGATGTTTTATGACACTCTCTGCAGTATTATATTTGGATGGGATGGATGGGATGGATGGGATGGTGGGGGGAAGGAGATCAACCTTGAGCCTTTTGCACAATATGAGCTTGACCACCACCCCACCCACCACCCCCCATGCTCCACTAGTGAGTGAGTATGGTTTTACGCTGTTTTAGCAATATTCCAGCAATATCGGCGTGGCGATCGAACGCTTTAACCACTAGGCTACCCGACCACCCCCCATGCTCCACTAGACAGTTCTCAGTTTACATCAAGATACATTGTTACTCAATATAGAGTGGTGTACAGTAAAGAGTCAATGGACACACCTATCTTGTCCATGGGCTAAATTTTAATAGCACGTTTCATAGATACAGTCCTTTTGATGGACATCACAAACATGAGTTTCATTGCACAAGACCTTATTTAAACTTAAACATAAATACTAGGATGCACACCCAGCCAAACTGGAATATCAAGGGGAGATAACTGGTGGGTAGTTACTCAATCTACATATAATCCTCACCAGTCTGTGTAGAGGCACACGGAAGGTCATGTTGACGTCATGCATGAGGGAGTTGGCGTACTGATCCTGGAACAGGGAGCCGTGTGTAGTGTTAACAACAACAACAACAACAACAACAATTCCATTCATTATGTGCAGGAATCCACACCTGGGTGTGCTCAAAATACTTACAAGAATTAAAATAATTACATAAAAGAAATCTGCTTTGAAGTTATATCGGCAAACAATATAAGTTTATCTTCCACTAACTATGTCTTGATAGTTCATTCACACTGCAAACGAAATACCGAAAACTAATCAATTATAAAGAAATATTTCATAATCTCGGTAATGAAACAGTATTAAATACTAAAAATACTGTGTTCATGTAGGACCGTTCCTACTGAGTCTATCCACAGAGTGGACCTACCTCGGCTATACAGGTGAGTATGACTATGCAGAGTTTAGCATTGTTGTACCGCGCTGTATCTGCCAACAAAAGAGACAATCAACACAAGAAATAGCATCAAGTCCATGGAGTAGGACTACTGAGAACAAGACACATCCTAAATATTTTTTATCAATATTATTCCCCACCTTATAAACAAGATAACAGTAATCACTGGTAATTAATTACGAGTCATACACATTACATGGTGTGAGAAAACATGCTATATATCATCTAAGTAACAACATTTCAACTATTTCCACAGAAATGTAAATAAATAGGACACTCATTGTCTGACTGTCATTGCATGTTTCCATCTGTCTGCTATCTGTCTGTCTGTGCCTCAGCCTGTGCCTGTCTATCAATGTCTGTCTGCCAGTGTCTGCTGTTGGTCTGCCAGTGTTTGTATGCCTGTGTCTGCTGTTTGTGTTTGCCTGTGTTTGCTGTTGGTCTGCCAGCGCCTGTCTGCCTGTGTCTGCTGTTTGTCTGTGTCTGCTGTTTGTCTGTTTGTGTCTGCCTGTGTCTGCTGTTTGTCTGTGTCTGCTGTTGGTCTGCCAGTGCATGTCTGCCTGTGTCTGCCTGTGTCTGCTGTTTGTCTCTGATGTCTGTTTGTGTCTGCCTGTGTCCATCTCTGTCTGTTGTACATCTGTTCGATGTCTGTTTGCCTGTGTCTGTGAATGTCTGCCTGTGTGTGTAGTGTGTCTGCTGTTTACCCTTGGTGTCCTGGAAGATGATTGAGCTGTATTCCAGGAAGGTGACCAGGAGATTGGTCGGCTGTGTCGCTGTGGCCACTTCATTCACATTCTCCACTTGGCCACCTACAGGAAGTAGAGTCACATTCAACTCACAGCAGACAATAAAATAATTGTTACCAAACTAGAAGCACTACAAATAATACAAAAAAATAACAAAACCCAGCTTATCCTGTTTCAGTTGTCATGATAATAAACTCCCTTGTCTGATGGTGCTGTACTTGTCGGCTTATGAACCCTGCCTACACAGAGCTGAGGCTGTGGATGTAGTCAGCTCATCACTAATCACTCAGCACAGCTCACCTGAATCCACACAGACTGTACATCAGACCAGTGGTTGATGAAATGACCATCCTAAATGCTGTTGGGTTCAGATACATTATCAACAAGGTCACACATTGTTACTACCTGATCCTGGGATGAGATATTCAGACATATTCTGTCCCAGAATCCCAACAGGGAGACAACTGCAGACCTATTCTGATCTGGAATACCAAAGTAGAGACATGGATGGGGTACAGGGAAACTATTCTGTCCTGGAATCCCAACAGGGAGACAAGCATGGGTACAGGGGACCTATTCTGTCCTGGAATCCCAACAGGGAGACAAGCATGGGTACAGGGGACCTATTCTGTCCTGGAATCCCAACAGGGAGACAAGCATGGGGTACTGGGGACTTATTCTGTCCTGGAATCCCCACAGGAAAACAAACATGAGGTACCGGGGACCTATTCTGTCCTGGAATCCCAACAGAGAGACAAGCATGAGGTACTGGGGACCTATTCTGTCCTGGAATCCCCACAGGGAAACAAACATGAGGTACTGGGGACCTATTTTGTCCTGGAATCCCAACAGGGAGACAAGCATGGCGTACTGGGGACCTATTCTGTCCCGGAATACCAACAGAGAGACAAGCATGGGGTACTGGGGACCTATTCTGCCCTGGAATCCCCACAGTGAGACATGCATGAGGTACTGGGGACCTGTTCTGTCCTGGAATCCCCACAGGGCGACAAGCATGGGATACTGGAAACCTATTCCGGCCTGGAATTTCCACAGGGAGACAAGCATGGGGTACTAGGGACAAATTCTGTCCTGAAATCCCAACAGGGAGACAAGCATGGGATACTGGGGACCTATTTTGTCCTTGAATCCTTACAGGGCGACAAGCATGGGATACTGGAAACCTATTCTGTCCTGAAATCCCAACAGGGAGACAAGCATGGGCTACAAAGGACCTATTCTGTCCTGAAATCCCCACAGAGAGACAAGCATGGGGTACTGGGAACCTATTCTGTCCTGGAAGGGGAAATAGTAACGAGGCATTGCTAGCACCTACCTTGGTTGTCCAACACTGGTGATGTTGTAGTGACGGGGGAGGATGGGGGAGTTGCAGGCGATGATGGAGTGTGAGCCTGAAAAGAAAATCACTGGTAAAAAATTGCTCCTGGAGTTGCTGATCAGGCAAGTTGCACCCATTAACAGAAGCATGCCATACAGATGCAGACATTGTTGAGGTTCTACAGACATCACTGCTGACATAATGGGTAGATCTGTATAACATATACCCCCGTGGGTACTTACTTTTATATATACACAGCAGCATCATAATTTCCACAAGTCAGGATTCAACTTCAAAGGACAGCTATTCTCACTTTGAAAGTATTGACATGAAGTAGTGGAATGCCAATTAGTATACTCAGCATCATAATTCAAGGGTCAAGCAGATAATATAAGGGTAACACTATCCATTTTAGCTTTGATAAAAGATAAAACATTTCCAAATTCCAAGAGTGCAGTTCAGGAATGAACCTTTTCATACACACATTGCCTGTAACTTGTCATGTAGTGCACGTGCATGGGCTAAACCGCTGGCTGCACTCGGGCATGTGTTTTGGGTAGCTTTTTTTATCACCTTTAATCTTGTACTTTTCATTGTTTTTAATAGTCTTTGTCCAGTTTTATAAACATCCAATCAGTGTGACAGGCATAACCAACATGTTCTTCAACTGTTAATCACATTGTCAACATACTCAGACCCACTGACGCTTGTTGGCATGTGTTCATGTTTGGCACCCAACATATAGTCTGGAAGTTAATTTAAGGTACCGACGTTTACTACAATATCTGAAAAACTATTGGACCTACTCCAGTCATCTACACCTAGGGGGACAATACAACAATGATGCTGAGTGCATTATAACATAAAACATGTCTTATCATTTTTGTTAACTTGTTTTTTAACGCCACACTCAGCAATATCCAGTTATTTTCAACATGAGTATCTATCTATGCAATTGGGATACGATGACATGCATCAAACACGTCAGTGAGCCTGACCACCGATCCCGTTCATCGCATCTTACGACAAGCATGGATGCAGAAGATCAATTCTAACCCGTACCTTCAGAGTTCTAAATGAATACCTCTTGTCATATTTGTTTCATGCCAATAGATGACGTCACCATACTCTACTGGATGAATCCCGACACAAAGTACCACAATGCAGGGATACTTGAACGGATACAGCCCTGTCTAATTCCCAGCTGACTGGTGTACGTACATGTGTTAAGGCGGTGATGAAGTTCCTGTTCAGGTGAATGGCTTCATACAGTGCCATAAGTATGGAGTCATTAGCTCTGCAAAACACAAGGCACACATAAACCATATATGAAGATGAGAAGATGAAAAAAAACACATAGAAAATACGATTACAATGTCAAAAAGCTGTTATGAAAACAAAGACACCATCTAATATTATGTTCATGCAGGAGAGTTTTGCTACAAACATTTGTCTTCTTATACATGTTATAAGCAGACATTCTACCTCATGATTTCTGTTTTCTTCTCCTCTGCCACAAACATATTGCCCACCTGAAACGTAAGATAGAAACATACTGAACATCATTCTCATCTTAGAGAGTTTAACTCATGTCAGAAAATATATAATAACATATCAGTCACACAAGAGCACATTCACCAACAATACACTTTACTGTGACAGTAAAGTCAGGATTGTTCAGGTCAAGGATGTTCACCATTTTGGTGAAAGCAATAAGAGTTTGTGTTAACAAACCAAGATTCAAAATGGCTGGGCTTCAAACCCGCAGCCAGGCAGACTAAATGAAACAGTATTAACATGATCAAAGTATTTAACTTTTTCTTAGCTAGGTATTCATACAATCTTTATTATTTAATCTAACTCTCCAAATAAAAAAGGAATTTGGTTAATGAGGATGTTTTATTGCACTTGTTAACTACTGTGGGGACTTCACACTACAAGGAAATCATTCACCATGTTAAGAGTTTCGCAAAAACTTACAAAATATATTATTTAACTTCTTAAAGTAGGTTAACCACATATGGATTTAAAGTTTGTCTACATGAAAAATGATGTTAATTGATAAAAATGTGCACTTATATATGCCCCTAATTTCTAACATGCAGCGATTGATGACGGACAGTATACAGTGCTATGACGTCAAGCAGCAAAGTTGTAATGCAGTGGCGTCAGAGTTTAATGAACTTTGGGACACTACTCCCATTTGGCTTTGCCATAAACAATATGTGACATGTAAGATGCCAACCAAATCCCTGTCTTTAGAAAACATAACGATGCATCTTTGACAATTTGACTTATAGTCTAGGATTCACGCTTACACCGCTTCATAACTGTGACAGGCTGATTTAGAATATGGCATAAAGCACTCCTGATTCACGACAGTTAAGAGCTGTGCATTGAACACAAACTATACCAGCAGACATCCCAATATAACATAATTCTGCACAATACTGACATGCATTTATTATCATAATAAGAATACAATGTTAACTGATGAAATTCGTCACCAGATGCATACAATGGACCTTTTGTGTTTCAACAGTTGCCATAGTTACTCACCATATTAGCAAAGGCTGAAAACCATCCTGACTGTGGCTCGGACATCTGTACTTGGTAATTCCTGCACATACCAAATAGTTACACATCAATACAAATAATTATTACATAATCAGTAATGTTATCAGTTTGAGTCGTCATGAACAATGGACTACATCATAATAATAATAAGTCCATTCATAAGGCACACAGTTCATCCAAGTGCATATCTCAAAACACGACTTCATTAATACCCATTCACTCAGATTTTCATTCTCAGCTCCCTGGGGAGTAATCAACCTGAGCTGCCTGTGAAGGGCAAGAAGGTTAACAGTCATTACCATCTCATCCTACCGGGTACCCGTCTATTGAGTTACACTTCGAACAAAGTCACCTGCCACAGGAGACACTAAATGTGCTGCATGTGCTTCAGTGTGGGGAAGGATCAAGTCAAGCTGCCGAACTCGGTCACCCATCTACCCCATTTGCTTAGTTTCACTAAATTTGTGACCTTTGCGCTGTGCACTGGACCACAGGCCATATTGTGTTGTTCTCAACCATGAACGAATGTCACATTATATCTCTGCTTGTGATCACATCGTACACAGCAAGCCATACATCATACAAGAGCAAGTTTGCTTAAATGACAATCATAACTGACTCAAAGTTGTTAACTTACCTGTTGAAGTCTGACAGTAATGATGACACAATTTGAGCATACCCCTGTAATGTGGAACAATGTAATATGTTAAATGCTGTCCTGCTAATGACATATGTTACAAAATACTGATACACCATCTAAACCAACTAGAACAGTCTGTATTGAAAGAATCAAGTGGACACAACGAAGACAACAATAATAATTTCTCTTCAATCATGTCAATGGTATAAGTACTCACTTAAATGACATATCACATACCAAAATCTATTCTAATTCTAAAGCAGTGGATAACACTACACAAGGATAACACCTTAACAAGTGGGCCACTGGACTACCATGTCCATGGCCTGAAAATCAAAAAGAGTTCCTTGAAGAGGAGATAAATAACCAACATTTTGAAAATTATTTCATCATCATTAAGGAAGTACTTACCGTTAATGCTAACTCATCATCTAAAATTGACAGCTTGACAATATATGGGTTGGCGGACTGCAAAAAAATGAATATCTCTGTCAATACATTAAATGACTTTGTTAATTTATTTTAAGAGAGACTGAACAACCACAAGTTACCCAACACGGTGATTAAAGCTGTCATATTGCTGGAACAATGCTCTAGTGTAAAAACGTAACACTTTGAAATAGATATGAAAATGCTCATGTTCAATACTGAAAGGTAATCCCAATAAACTCATGTAGTTATAAGGTTATTAGGTTGCACAGATCAGCATATTTAGTAAGACTCAGCCTAAAGCTGGATCACATCAGAGTCGTTTCTACAACATTAAATGTGGCCTCCACGCTGATTTGAAGGATTCTGGCGACATTGTTGCCATGGTTACCTCGTGTTTCCTGTACTGAACCAGCAGTGTGAGGACGAGGATCGCATCATGGCCCAGCGACATGCGTAGTAGGGGATTCCCCAGAATCTGGAATGGAGGTGGATTATCACAAGGATTTACTCATTTGAAAATGACTTGTATTTGACTGCATAACCATGATAACACATAACATACAAATGTATTCTGCATGATGTTATTTTTAGAAATATTCGATGTGAGGTAGCAACACTTAATTCTCAATGATAACTGCAAAGTGAGTGAGTGAGTTGAGTTTGGCACTACTGTTTGAGGTTGTGGCAGCTAAATGTGAGAGGAAAGCCTGAGATGAAACCATGAGCACTGGATTAGTGACGACAACTTATAAAACACAGTCAGGCTGACTCCCGCACTTGAACCTTCTATCATTAACATAGGAGTCTGGCATTCCTAAGGGAAGCAACTCTGCATGATCAACAGCTTCACCTAAGGTGACCAACAATGCCCTCTTGACCACAAAAGATATAAGGCTAAAAAAAATAATAGTCTTGGTTCTTAGGCACTGCCTGCATCATCATTAAGTCCACCGCACGTTTAAAAAAAAATATATCTTTAAATATTCCATGCCTCGTACACAAGACCCTGCCAGTGAAATGCTACAATACTTAAGAACAACATGATTTCCCCCAAATTAATGTAAACCAAATTTGGTTACATACTAGCTTGAACAAAAAAAACTAAAATAAACAACATTTTTTTAAGCCTAACATAAGAAGTGGCAAGACATTCTGTAGGAATTGACCTTCGAGGTTCAGAGAGTGGCAAAATATTTAAAAGAACAAATAGCCATGACAATGAAATGTGTTTAGTGTTAACCAAGCCATGTATGAAACTTAAATAGAATTGGAGGAATCGAGAAAAGATTTATTTAAACTCCGACCAGTGGTAACATGGCCACTCAGCCTACCTGGATGATGGACTCGAAGACGCTGTTGATGAGGATGTACTCCAGCATGGTGTTCTGGCTGATGTTGTCAGTGGCCTGGAACAAACAGGCTTGGGTTCACAAGGGATACGCAGCTTTACTGTATCAATAAGGGTGCAGACAGTGTAAGAATAGAAAGGCAGGGACCACAGGAGTTTAGAGTGAGTATGGTTTTAGGTGGGTGTTCGCAATATTCAAGCAATATCCCGGTGGGGACAACAGAAATGGGCTTTACACATTGTACCCATGTGGGGAATCGAACCCACGTCTGTGGTGTGACGAGCGAATGCTTTAACCACTAGGCTACCTGACCGCCCAACAGGAGTTTAGAATCACCCTATGTTGCTGTTATATAGGTACAGCCTGTTCATGCAAGTCTTATTCCGCTCAAACACCACAGCTACACAATTCCAAATGTCACACACCACACGCTTTTCCACAACAACTGCCGAGAATAAAGGTTCATAATATCCCGTTTCCGGTAACATTGAAAACTTGGATTGGAAATTATATGAATAAAGATAATGTACTTAGTAAGCACAGCCAGCCTTCTAGAAACTGCTACCTCGAAAGCATCTCAAATGGGTAGGGTAGTCAGTTCCAGAAGCTTGTTTGGGGTAACTTTCCACAATCTGGTTCTCGCATAGCACTACGAAGGCTAGAGATTTTATGAGCTCTTCCTAATTGCTGTCCATAACAATCAGAAATAAACTTACAATATATACTGGTACATTACAGTTTATGTTCTTCAAAGGTAACCATGTTAACAAATCTCACCGTAATGAGCACCAGAAGGAACTTGAGCACCAGCTGTTTGACACTGGCGGGATAGTCGCCAGTCAGGAACCGGTTCAGGTTTTCAATCAAAGACTGTAATATAAATAATCAATGTTCTATCAATGATATGAGTGAGCGAGCAGCACGGTTCGATGCCTAAGCCAAAAGTCCAGAGTTATAACAGTGGAAGACACCTCATAGTGTACTCACATGAGGAATCAAACCTGATAGTAAACTGACGAGTGAACACTATAACCACTGGGCTAGCCCACAGCTTGACTGCCACAAGAAGGCAACTGTGACAGACAATACACAAGACCTTGCCTATGCTTAACGCTTAAAGATGAAACTGACATGCCAGTAGTCATGCTAGAACGCAAGAATGCAAACATTAAAACATGACACTTTTTTATTCTATGTACAACGTTTCAGAGCTACTTCTTGCTCCTTCATCAGGTGAATGAATATGTGATTTGTTTGTTTGTTGTTTAACGCCGCACAGAGCAATATTCCAGCTCTATGATGGTGGTCTGTGAATAATCGAGTCTGGACCAGACAATCCAGTGATTGATATCATGAGCATCGATCCATGCAATTGGGATCGATGACATGCATCAACCAAGTCAGCTAGCCTGACCACCCGATCCCATTTGTCGCCTCTTACGACAAACATGGTTTGATGGATATGTGAATGAATATTGTTTGGAAAAAAAAGGAAAATCATATAAATTGTGTTTTTTCTTCACATATTCACCTGCATGACAGACTCAGCTGAATCAAACCCAATCAGGAGGTTGATGACATCGAATCCATAGTTGCCAAGACTCTTCCGAAATATACCCCGTATCAGCGCACACAGTGTCTGCAAACATCAAAATATAGTTCATACGACATACAGGATCTCATTCTTACCCAATAATCTTTACACGCACATGGGCTACAAAGCAGTGGGCAAGAATATAACTCTTTAAATATATCTGCATAAAACATCATGACACAAGTACTAACATCCTGCAATGTGATTCCTGTCAACAGAGTGCTTGAGTTACCAATGTAGTGGTTACAGATGGCAGCAGGATCAATAGCAGATAGAGATGAAAATATTCAATACTTGAGTCAGCAATGAGCCAGCTATATCATGGTGGCACGCAATTCAGCCTGAGCACTGATCCATATCATGGAGTCGGACCACCCTTCAACGCCCTCCTTGACACACAGTCTAGTCACTGAGTCTGACCACCCTACAACAACCTCCCTGACACACAGTCTAGTCACGGAGTCGGACCACCCTACAACACCCTCCTTGACACACAGTCTAGTCACTGAGTCGGACCACCCTACAACACCCTCCTTGACACACAGTCTAGTCACTGAGTCGGACCACCCTACAACAACCTCCCTGACACACAGTCTAGTCACTGAGTCGGACCACCCTACAACACCTCCCTGACACACAGTCTAGTCACTGAGTCGGACCACCCTACAACGCCCTCCTTGACACACAGTCTAGTCACTGAGTCTGACCACCCTACAACAACCTCCCTGACACACAGTCTAGTCACTGAGTCTGACCACCCTACAACACCCTCCTTGACACACAGTCTAGTCACTGAGTCTGACCACCCTACAACAACCTCCCTGACACACAGTCTAGTCACTGAGTCGGACCACCCTACAACACCCTCCTTGACACACAGTCTAGTCACTGAGTCTGACCACCCTACAACACCCTCCTTGACACACAGTCTAGTCACTGAGTCGGACCACTCTACAACACCCTCCTTGACACACAGTCTAGTCACAGAGTCTGACCACCCTACAACGCCCTCCTTGACACACAGTCTAGTCACTGAGTCTGACCACCCTACAACGCCCTCCTTGACACAGTCTAGTAACTGAGTCGGACCACCCTACAACGCCCTCCTTGACACACAGTCTAGTCACTGAGTCGGACCACCCTACAACGCCCTCCTTGACACAGTCTAGTCACTGAGTCTGACCACCCTACAACGCCCTCCTTGACACACAGTCTAGTCACTGAGTCGGACCACCCCACAACACCCTCCTTGACACACAGTCTAGTCACTGAGTCGGACCACCCTACAACGCCCTCCTTGACACAGTCTAGTAACTGAGTCGGACCACCCTTCAACACCCTCCTTGACACACAGTCTAGTCACTGAGTCGGACCACCCTACAACACCCTCCTTGACACACAGTCTAGTCACTGAGTCTGACCACCCTACAACACCCTCCTTGACACAGTCTAGTCACTGAGTCTGACCACCCTACAACACCCTCCTTGACACACAGTCTAGTCACTGAGTCTGACCACCCTACAACACCCTCCTTGACACACAGTCTAGTCACTGAGTCTGACCACCCTACAACACCCTCCTTGACACACAGTCTAGTCACTGAGTCTGACCACCCTACAACACCCTCCTTGACACACAGTCTAGTCACTGAGTCTGACCACCCTTCAACACCCTTCTTGACACAGTCTAGTCACTGAGTCTGACCACCCTACAACACCCTCCCTGACACACAGTCTAGTCACTGAGTCGGACCACCCTACAACACCCTCCTTGACACACAGTCTAGTCACTGAGTCGGACCACCCTACAACACCCTCCTTGACACAGTCTAGTCACTGAGTCTGACCACCCTACAACACCCTCCTTGACACAGTCTAGTCACTGAGTCTGACCACTCTACAACACCCTCCTTGACACAGTCTAGTCACTGAGTCTGACCACCCTACAACGCCCTCCTTGACACAGTCTAGTCACTGAGTCTGACCACCCTACAACGCCCTCCTTGACACAGTCTAGTCACTGAGTCTGACCACCCTACAACACCTCCCTGACACACAGTCTAGTCACTGAGTCTGACCACCCCACAACACCTCCCTGACACACAGTCTAGTCACTGAGTCTGACCACCCTACAACACCCTCCTTGACACACAGTCTAGTCACTGAGTCTGACCACCCTACAACGCCCTCCTTGACACAGTCTAGTCACTGAGTCGGACCACCCTACAACACCCTCCTTGACACAGTCTAGTCACTGAGTCTGACCACCCTACAACACCCTCCTTGACACAGTCTAGTCACTGAGTCTGACCACCCTACAACGCCCTCCTTGACACAGTCTAGTCACTGAGTCTGACCACCCTACAACACCCTCCTTGACACACAGTCTAGTCACTGAGTCGGACCACCCTACAACAACCTCCTTGACACAGTCTAGTCACTGAGTCTGACCACCCTACAACACCCTCCTTGACACAGTCTAGTCACTGAGTCTGACCACCCTACAACGCCCTCCTTGACACAGTCTAGTCACTGAGTCTGACCACCCTACAACGCCCTCCTTGACACAGTCTAGTCACTGAGTCGGACCACCCTACAACGCCCTCCTTGACACAGTCTAGTCACTGAGTCTGACCACCCTACAACGCCCTCCTTGACACAGTCTAGTCACTGAGTCTGACCACCCTACAACGCCCTCCTTGACACAGTCTAGTCACTGAGTCTGACCACCCTACAACGCCCTCCTTGACACACAGTCTAGTCACTGAGTCTGACCACCCTACAACGCCCTCCTTGACACAGTCTAGTCACTGAGTCGGACCACCCTTCAACACCCTCCCTGACACACAGTCTAGTCACTGAGTCTGACCACCCTACAACACCCTCCTTGACACACAGTCTAGTCACTGAGTCTGACCACCCTACAACAACCTCCTTGACACACAGTCTAGTCACTGAGTCTGACCACCCTACAACACCCTCCTTGACACACAGTCTAGTCACTGAGTCTGACCACCCTACAACGCCCTCCTTGACACAGTCTAGTCACTGAGTCGGACCACCCTTCAACACCCTCCCTGACACACAGTCTAGTCACTGAGTCGGACCACCCCACAACACCCTCCTTGACACAGTCTAGTCACTGAGTCGGACCACCCTACAACACCCTCCTTGACACACAGTCTAGTCACGGAGTCTGACCACCCTACAACAACCTCCTTGACACACAGTCTAGTCACGGAGTCTGACCACCCTACAACACCCTCCTTGACACACAGTCTAGTCACTGAGTCGGACCACCCTACAACACCCTCCCTGACACACAGTCTAGTCACTGAGTCGGACCACCCCACAACACCCTCCTTGACACAGTCTAGTCACAGAGTCTAACCACCCTACAACACCCTCCTTGACACACAGTCTAGTCACTGAGTCTGACCACCCCACAACACCCTCCTTGACACAGTCTAGTCACAGAGTCTGACCACCCTACAACACCCTCCCTGACACACAGTCTAGTCACTGAGTCGGACCACCCCACAACACCCTCCTTGACACAGTCTAGTCACTGAGTCTGACCACCCTACAACACCCTCCTTGACACACAGTCTAGTAACTGAGTCGGACCACCCTACAACACCCTCCTTGACACACAGTCTAGTCACTGAGTCTGACCACCCCACAACACCCTCCTTGACACACAGTCTAGTCACTGAGTCGGACCACCCTACAACACCCTCCTTGACACACAGTCTAGTCACTGAGTCTGACCACCCTACAACGCCCTCCTTGACACAGTCTAGTCACTGAGTCTGACCACCCTACAACACCCTCCTTGACACACAGTCTAGTCACTGAGTCGGACCACCCTACAACACCCTCCTTGACACACAGTCCAGTCACTGAGTCGGACCACCCTACAACACCCTCCTTGACACACAGTCTAGTCACTGAGTCGGACCACCCTACAACGCCCTCCTTGACACAGTCTAGTCACTGAGTCTGACCACCCTACAACACCCTCCTTGACACAGTCTAGTAACTGAGTCGGACCACCCTACAACACCCTCCTTGACACACAGTCTAGTCACTGAGTCGGACCACCCTACAACGCCCTCCTTGACACAGTCTAGTCACTGAGTCTGACCACCCTACAACACCCTCCTTGACACAGTCTAGTCACTGAGTCGGACCACCCTACAACACCCTCCTTGACACACAGTCTAGTCACTGAGTCGGACCACCCCACAACACCTCCCTGACACACAGTCTAGTCACTGAGTCTGACCACCCTACAACACCCTCCTTGACACACAGTCTAGTCACTGAGTCGGACCACCCTACAACACCCTCCTTGACACACAGTCTAGTCACTGAGTCTGACCACCCTACAACACCCTCCTTGACACACAGTCTAGTCACTGAGTCTGACCACCCTTCAACACCCTCCTTGACACACAGTCTAGTAACTGAGTCGGACCACCCTTCAACACCCTCCTTGACACACAGTCTAGTCACTGAGTCGGACCACTCTACAACACCCTCCTTGACACACAGTCTAGTCACTGAGTCGGACCACCCCACAACACCCTCCTTGACACACAGTCTAGTCACTGAGTCGGACCACCCTACAACACCCTCCTTGACACACAGTCTAGTCACTGAGTCGGACCACCCTACAACACCCTCCTTGACACACAGTCTAGTCACTGAGTCTGACCACCCTACAACGCCCTCCCTGACACACAGTCTAGTCACTGAGTCGGACCACCCTACAACGCCCTCCTTGACACAGTCTAGTCACTGAGTCGGACCACCCTACAACAACCTCCTTGACACACAGTCTAGTCACTGAGTCGGACCACCCTACAACGCCCTCCCTGACACACAGTCTAGTCACTGAGTCTGACCACCCTACAACACCCTCCTTGACACACAGTCTAGTCACTGAGTCGGACCACTCTACAACACCCTCCTTGACACACAGTCTAGTCACTGAGTCTGACCACCCCACAACACCCTTCTTGACACAGTCTAGTCACAGAGTCGGACCACCCTACAACACCCTTCTTGACACAGTCTAGTCACTGAGTCGGACCACCCTACAACACCCTTCTTGACACAGTCTAGTCACAGAGTCTGACCACCCTCCAACACCCTTCTTGACACAGTCTAGTCACTGAGTCGGACCACCCTACAACACCCTCCTTGACACACAGTCTAGTCACAGAGTCTGACCACCCTACAACGCCCTCCTTGACACAGTCTAGTCACAGAGTCGGACCACCCTACAACAACCTCCTTGACACACAGTCTAGTCACTGAGTCGGACCACCCCACAACACCCTCCTTGACACAGTCTAGTCACAGAGTCGGACCACCCTACAACAACCTCCTTGACACACAGTCTAGTCACTGAGTCGGACCACCCCACAACACCCTCCTTGACACAGTCTAGTCACTGAGTCTGACCACCCCACAACACCCTCCTTGACACAGTCTAGTCACAGAGTCGGACCACCCTACAACAACCTCCTTGACACACAGTCTAGTCACTGAGTCGGACCACCCCACAACACCCTCCTTGACACACAGTCTAGTCACTGAGTCAGACCACCTAGTCCAGCGATAGAAACTAACAGTTTTAGTCCACCCATGAGATACTTGGGACCCATTCTCTTTATCATCCCAAAGCATTAAGTGTTGTCATGCATACAGGGTAAAATGATAAGCCATCATGAGAGTAAGTCACATCTGACTTACATGTAATGCATTGACGACCCTGATGAGGTTGTCCTGGGCTAGAGCCTCCACACAGTGGTAGAACAGCATGTTCAGGTTGTCCTGGAAACACAACATTAATAGTAACAACAACAATTATAGGCCATTTATATTGCACGTATTTCCACACCACACAGGGGCATGCTCAAAGCGCTATTATTACCCCAGTCAGTGTACTCTCAAGAATCATTCTCATCTCCCTGGGGAGTATACAACCCAAGCTACCTGTTAGGTATCAACCGCATTCCCATCACATCCTACCAGGTACCCATTCACAGCTAGATGAACAGCGGCACATTTCGAACAAAGTCACTTGCCCAAGGAGACACCACATGTGTTACATGGGCTTCAGTGTGGGGCAGGGCCGAGGCCCTAGAAACTCTCAGCAGCCTAGTTGCCAAATGCGGTCACCCATCCAAGGACTCTCTGCGACCGATGCTGATTAACCTCATCTGTTTGTTACCTGTGCGCTCTGCACAGGACCACGCACCACATCTTTCAGTGATATACATAAGTAGCAGTGTCATGCTTCACTGATGGATCAATTCATCATGAACTCACACCTGGAAATATGATATACGAAATGACAATCTATGATATTGTGAATTAAGTAGGTCATGATGCAATGCATCATGCTGCTGTTGTTGCAGCTTATTTTGAGCCAGGAATTGACACGTCATTCTGAGTGAGATAATATTTAACGTCACATCGGCAATATTTCAGCCATATTGTGACGAGCACGTCATTCTGAACATGTATTTTAACTGATCCAACTATAGGTTGTAATGCAAAATTTTATGCAATTAGATGTCAACCATAACATGGTTGGAGTCAGAGAAACCACTTCAGCAATCACCAGCAACAATTTCTCCATTACATATCACATAGCTTATTGGGCAAGATGACTTCCAATTTGAATCACTATGTGGTCCTTGGTCATGTGTATGTTTGTCCCCAGTCTCCTATGATGATGCATACCTTGGGTAGTTTCCGCCATTGTAACCATGGCAACAGCAGCTTACCTTCAGACTGAGCAGACCCTCGCCACTCAGCTTCTCGATCTCATTCTCCACGTAGTTGGTGTTCACCTGAAGATGATGGCACAACAGAAGCTGAACTTCACAGTGTCAATTATCATGTTAATACTAGTCATACAATAGGGGACAGATATTTATGATTTGGCAACAACTAGTACCACTATTCATTTATGAGTGAGTGAGTATGGTTTTACACTGCTTTTAGCAATATTCCAGCAATATCAGGGTTGGGAACACCAGAAATAGGCTTCACACATTGTACCCATGTCGGGAATTGAACCTTTGTCTTTGCCATGATGAGCGAACACTTAAACCACTCGGCTACCCCACCGCCCTTATTAATTTATAATGATGGCATGGTTTGGGGGAGTGGAGTTCCATGGGTTTTTTTAGGCCATGCTGTTGACATTTCTAAAACATCTAAAATATAACTATAATCATTGTAATAGTTGGATATCAGGTTATAATTGCTATTAAAATACTTTAAATAATTACATTTTTTTTGTTTAAGTATTTATTTCAGCTAGCAAACTTGTGAAACTAAACTTTGTTTTGGGTCGCCAACACTTTCTAGCACAATTCTATTCTGGCCCCACTCATGAATCATATCATGTCATATAATCATCCAAACAAGGCTTCCCAGGAATGTTACACTCAGCTTAGAGCAAAACAACTTTCAACTATGACATCACTACATTGTAACATTGTTGCCTGATGTCATAGCACTATATCAAATCATCAATGAATTATCCCAATCATGCAAGTTAGAAATATGAGTGAAATAAAATCTGCCCATCCTTAACCATTTGCTCAAAACTTGAAGAAATGAAGACACCTTGATGCTTTCTCATCATGTCATAGGTGAATGTCTAATGGTTAAAACATTTACGACATTAAATACTATTAAATTTGTAATTTTTACAATAAACTGAATATTTATAATACTTATCCTATATCACACTATGCACTTCTTCCTTCTTCTTACGATCCTATGTGGAAACGTGCTTGAACAATGTTACCAGTTTCTAAAAAACAATTCACCTGAACACATCCGAGCAGCACCATGCTTTTCAACCAAACAAATGGGTCGGACGAAATCAATCGAAAATCAAAATCAATCGAGAGTGACATCGGCTTGGTGGAGCTTGGTCTCACTGGATAATGAGATGTGACGCATGAAGGAGCTCTGTCCATTGGGACACCACCAGAATGACCCATTCTGACACGAGGCAGTTGATACAGAATCACTTTAACTGACCAATGCCTTGCCACCTGTAGATCACATAAGTGCGCTTAAACTCACAGTCGAGGCGTTGGCAAAGGGACGTAGGGTCGGGACAAATGGGCAAAGAGACCCCAGCACAAACATTCAATGTTACTAGCCACCACAGAAAATGTGGATGCAGGCGGATGGGCAGGAGGTCGGGACATGGCAATCGTCGCTCTGGATGAAGCACTGAAGCAGATGAAGGTGAAGTTCAGGGCTTGTGCCGATGTCAGAAGGCCGAAGAGCTGTTGACGATGTCGAGGTGAAAGGAGCGGCTGTCTGAGTGCCAGTGCACCAGCCACTGGTCCGAAGGAACAAACACCTTGCCGAGGCGGGTATCGATTAACTGGAGTCGTTGAGTGGGAGTCGTCTAGGACGAGCAGCCTGAGTTGATAGAGAAGCCTCGGCTTAAACTCAAGATGGTGCTCAAGGACGTTTGTGTCTGTGTTGGCCTGAAGATCGACTACACCTGGAGATGAGTATCATGTTGAACATCTTTGGTGATGTCTTGGATGCGATTCCCAAAGAGACTGAGTTGACAAGGGGAGCTGGTACAAACGCACCTTGAAGGAGTCTTCCCATTGGCAAAGTTGAAGGAGGCCCAGTTGCCTTAGAGCCGTGACCGATCCTCTGTGCTGTGTGTGTGTGTGTGTGGGGGGGGGGGGGGAGATGGGATCCAAGATTGACATAACTTTCTCTTGAATGAGCACAATCGATGCACGAATGAATGCCTCCTCATTAGAATGCACGTGGGACATTGACATGATAATGGTCTTAGAAGGCAATCTGTCTAACAGTGATACCAAGATGCACCAGCTCGCGGTCCTTCGCTGTTTAGGAAGACATAGCTCGCTTGGATCCAAGGGTCAACATGTCGACAAAAGAATCAGGCACAAGCAGTTTTGGACAGTCCATGGATGCCAGACTCTACCACTAGAAAGTGAGGGGTCGATGGCGATAGATAATGTACGCATATGAAGGACACAAACGACTGCTCAAGGTTGGTGGCAATATCCGTCAAGACAGGCCTGAGAGGGAGTGTGATGTTGGAATTACCAGCAGAGAGACGGCAAAGCAAGTGAGACGGTCATCATCCAAAATACAGCGTTTGAGGCTGTTACTGATCCTCAATCCAATGAAGAACAAGAGCAGGATCCATGTCCTTATAAACTGCCTGAAGACGAGGTTGATGGTTCACATCACTACCAGCTGGTGCAGGATCAGGAACGGGAACTGCAGAGCAAGTAAGAACGGTGGAAGTCGAGGAGAGTGGCGATCCACATGCGCGGCCGATGAAGACGAACAGCTATGAGAAGGAGGGATCCATAGGCTGATCTCAATGAGGAGAGTTGTGATCCACATGCGCGGCCGATGAAGATGAACAGCTATGAAAAGGAGGGATCCACAGGCTGATCTCAATGAGGAGAGTCGTGAGCCACATGCGCGGCCGATGAAGACGAACATCTATGAAAAGGAGGGATCCATAGGCTGATCTCAATGAGGAGAGTGGTAGTAATCTGAGCAGGAGCGGATGAAGCGTAAGGATAACCACGCCAAGGAAGATACAATCCAAGTTTGAAAGGTAGTTCTCCCAGCCACGGGGATGGTCTGCATAGTCGCTGTATCGATAGGAATCCCATGAGCGTGCGTCCGATCTATGACAATAATCGTAGGAGCCGGGGCGATTTGGTTGACAATGGCAATCTGTACAATTGGAGGACAGGGAGCAACCTAAAGTAGAGGAATGTCTGACGGAGTCCATACACGAACCATCCTCCGAGTCAGGAGTGTGTTGTGAAGATGTGCCATAGTCCTTTTGAGAGTGTCGATCACTGGAACCTCAATCTCAATATTGTCGATCCTGAGAGTCGATCTGTCCCATTGATCCTGAGAGCGGCCAGGTGACCCAGAGCCACTATCCTGAGAGAGTTGATCCCGAAACTAGATTATCTCATATCTCATAGTGCATGTCTCCACTATCTGGCCATAAGAAAGAGAATGATGTGGCAGCACATGAGCATATCGTGTTGGTCACTATGCACAGGATTAAAGTGCATGATCCATTTTTGAGGGTGGTAGCCATGGTGATGCGGGCATGTGTTTGGGTGAATTGTTTTTTAGAAACTGGAATCATTGTTCAAGCATGTTTTCACACAGGATCAAAAGAAGAAATGCATAGTGTGAGATAGGATAAGTATAAAAATATACTCTTACGCAAAACTGCTAACACGATCCTAAATGTCTCAAAAGAAAAGTGTTCATTTGGTGCTGTAGTGCGCCTTACACAGCAAAATGCACAAAAATCACTTATAAAATTAACTAAGAGCAAGCTGAACACTCCTAACACAGACCAATGAACACCTTGAGGTGGCATATGGACATTCTCATTATTTTATCAACTCCTGACAGGACAGTTTTTATGACCATCAGTCGACGTCAAATTTATGCAATCTAAAATCGTGTTAATAGCATTGTTAACCCTGTTAACATGGATAATGCTATATCATATGTATATACAGTCGAACCTTGTAATGTCAAATTTGGATGTGTCAAACTCCTGGTTGTCTTGAAATCATTTTGGAGTCCCAAGTATCCAAATTAAGCATCCAATTTCCTTTATGTCTCGAACCCTGGATAGCTCAAACTTTCTTCCAGGTCCCCTTGAGTTTGACACAAAGAGGTTCGACTGTGTTTAATAATAAATTTAGTTCGATATTAACTTTTTAATTAACAACAAACATGAATTAAACATATTAATTAAGTCATGTCTACCTTTAAAAGAAACAGCTCATCCCAGAAATTGGCATTTCCTCGTGATGGATCTTCTCCCTGATAAAACAATGATCAAAAGTAACCAGATTTGTACAATGAGCATGATGAGGTACAAGCATAATAAACATGTATGTCAAGAACGTACAATAAAATCATAGACAGGTGAACAAGCTGGTCAGGACACAAAGCAACATGAGGTTTTATGGTGTAGAGATTGACATTTTCATGGAAATGAATGTTGTTTCCTTTTTGTGACAATTTGCTATTTGCGATCTTCTAGTGCAATCATCATGATCATGCAGAATAGCCATAACATTACTCACTGCTCATGTTGATCACGTTTACCATTTTAAAGTATCATCCTTGTTTTTATATTTAATAACGACATAACAAAACATTCCACTTTTCATCAGTCCACAAACCATAATACACACAATGTTTCAGACTCACGAGCTAAATTCTGTGATAATTCAGCTTCTTATAGGTGCAGCATTTGTCAGTGACTAGTGATTATCTAGACATGCTAAAATCTATTATTATTCTGAATAATGAACTGTTGTCTATACGGATTCAATTCAAATATTCATGGGGTTCTCATCCTTGGACATGGTTTCATTGATCATGTTGATATTCATAACCATGATTCACACATAAAATTTGTAAATTAATGGAACCCATGCACCCAGTTATTGGGAAAACATTGTTACATGGCAGCAGGGATGTGAGCAGGTTTTCCCGAAAAAAAGAGGAAAAGTCTAGGAGGGTCTGGGGGCATGCCCCCCCAGAAGTTTTTTAAACATTTGATTGCATTTTAAGCAATTTCGTGCAGTTTGGACAACATTCACACCAAGAAATGTAATAAGTCAATGGTAAAAGTCAATAAGTCAAATAAACAAGATGGCAGATGCAGAAAAATTTCGAAGTTAAATCAGTACTTTTAAAAAATCGGGCATAGCTTTCGCGCACCTGGCTACCCGCCAGGTCTGGGAGCAATACTGCCATAAACTTCAACCCCCATCCCCCAGACACAAGGACAACTGTCACAAGCGTGCAATGTCTGACCCTTTCCCCATGTTGAAGCATATTGAAAAAAACTTACCTTGTACTTACCTTTTGATGGAAAAAACAAAACTCCATTGCAAACATAAGACATTAATACAACATATATCCCCATGACATGGGGTTTTGGACGCTGAAGAAACATTCATAGTTTTTTCGCTTATCATATGAACAACTGTAAAACATCTCATTCACTTACAGGCTAAAAGACAACTTTATCTTAAAAACAAGCCATCAGCTGACTCTGAGTATTTACAATTTATGTGTGACGCCACACCCCACGTTATAGTGCAAGTATTCGCGACAGAAAAACGTATGATGTCCGAAAACCTATGCTGATGAAAGCCCTGATCGAAAACAGGACAATCCGCGCCAAATGTCCGGTTTTCGATCATATTTTTCGGAGTGTTTTTTTAAAAAATTTTAATTAAATTTTAACGCGGAAGATGATTTTTTCCGAGGACTACTGTTTTAAAAAACCCGATTTTCCGCGTTTCCGCGGAGATTTCACATCCCTGTGGCAGTGTAATTTATTGTTAAAAATTGATCGTAACTGAATCAAATGTTTCTGTTGAGATTCAGTAGAAGTGCATTGCATTGTACCTGGACAATGACTAGTTGTCAGGAATGTAGTACTATTTAATATAAGCAGTGGTGAGGAAGTTATGATATTTAGATGCTCAAGTTGTCTATAAACTTTCGAAATAGCATGGATGTCAAGCGTAATGGAAACATGTGGAATATTCTGTGATGGGTAAAAGTGGTTAGAAGCTGGTAGACTATTTCAAGCTCCTCACAGTGATAACCTGTTCGAGGAGCTCTCTATACTATCGCTGCCACCACTCATAACTCCCCACTGTGATAGGTGGCCACAACCATGCTTGGAGTTGAACTCGCAACCGAATGACCGTTGTGTTAACAAACAAGTGACGACTGTCGTGATGCCGAAAACAATTATCGCTGCTAAATTACTGTCTTTGTTTGTCAGTTTGAATTTCTGTTTCATTAAAACTATCGTGTTATTGATATAGTAAGAATGCAAGGAAGAAGTTGGTTAATTTTCCGTTAGTCTGCAATCTCGAACCAATCTGATTATGGAAACAACAAAGTAAATTCATCTGGAAAACATGGTCAGTCGTAAACCTTTTCAAAATGAAATATGATGGCATTCCCAAAGACATAAACAAAAGTTCAAACATTACTACATTTGGTGTTCGAGGGCAAATTTCAAGATTCTTGTAATGGCCGCGCCCACACTGGTGGCAGCGATGTTACCGAGAGTGTAACGAAGGTGTCACGCGCTGGGAAGGAGCTTGAGGCTATATGAGTGGAGCTGACGCGTCCCGGTCTCATCCGACATTACATCAAGACCGGCTTTTGTGTGAAGATCACTTTTCACCCTGGTGTTCAGCCAAGGCCTATCTCAGAAGCTTGACGCCTGTTGTGGGGAGGTGAGTGTTATTGTTGTCATTGTCATTTCCACTGCTCTCACATTTCATACTGCCATTGAACATTGTACTACCAATCAATTGTATACTGCCATTGTAACTGTTGTGCAGTACTTTGTATTGATTTGTAAACCTAGTTAATTTTGTAATACAATTGTTGATTGTATACCATTTGTTTGTTGGTTTCACACTAAACTATTTTACATAAAGATTTCTGGGTTAAAGCATTGTTTCAATTTGGGAATCGACATGTAACAACATCTATATACACTGATTCACAAAGTGGCGTCTTGTTGATGGCAACGTAACTGATAGCGATCATTATGAGGTTAAAAAAGACAACAGAAACGGCTTCCTGCATTAGGGGAGTGGAGGACTGGTTTGTTAAATCGTTATTAGAAATCATAATGACTTTTTCAATATAATTACAACATTTTTCATCTTATATTATTGAATATCTGCAAGTACAGGTACAGCCTTTCAGTCCGACTTCACCGTGTGTCATTGCCTTTCACTTCCTGGTTTGACTTATTTACGGGTCACATCATATACTTTCAGATTTCATGGGTCAAGTTAATACCTCGGCTTATCTGCGGTCATGTACGGTAGTTTTTTTAGAAATAATGGGAGTAACCTCTTCATTTCAGATTAGTGGTTTAAGACAGCTTTCAGGTTACAATGCCCAATATGTTTATATTTACACTGGTCAACTGACTAACTAACAAGTGACCGTGTCCAACTCAGATTGTGTGGCAGTAATGATGATACAAAATGAGCTGATTACGATGCCAGTCACTAATATGAAACAATACGTACCTGGAAGAAAGCTTCATATATCTGAACAATCTTTTCCTTAAGAGCCATCTTGGAGTGAGATCCCTTTCGGAGTAGGAGGGCGTGTCCCTTTTCTTTGCTGGGGGTTGTGTCTTGACTCATGCTTCTGTCATAACTGTCCTATGTCTGTTTTCACAATAAAATGTGTTCACATTATACATATTAAAAGAAGAATATTGTCACAAAAGCATTTTTAAAGAGTGTTTTCAGAAATATTTAAACATTACATATATATATATATACATATATAAGAATTATTCTGCAAAACAATATATCATCTTGTGATTATTCTGTGAATATTATCATGTAGTGATTTTAGGGTGGCAATGACATTTCTTAAACCATGACAAGACAGCTTCTTAAGATCGAGTTCCTTTGCTTTCGCAATCGTACTATTACACTGAACATGGTCAACTTCGCGTGAATTTCGTTCCACGCTACCTTAAACATTGTTGCAAGGCAGAACTGCCTCAACAATCCTTTGACACCGTGGGTGTGTACATCTGCCAAACAAAATTACGCATGAACCGATCAAAGTATTTGCTATCGCTCGGGAGGACAGCCAGGGTGCTAAATAGGGACACCGAGTATCCTATTCATATATGCAATAGAAAATAAACTACGGCATTACAAGATGAAACACGAAAACACTGTTTATCAATGCCGTACACGTAACATTAATACCCACCATGGGCTTCTTCCTAGTAGACGAATACTTCCGGTAGATGCGCAGTTAATACTACTATCTTTAATATTAATAAATCGAATAATGAAATATATTCTACGAGATATTTAATAAGAAAACAATTTATGATGAAATATGATCCTGATCTAAAATTATTTTACATATATAGTTTGGTGCTGAACGTCACGTTGCTATGACGATTACAATGAAAAAGGGAGATAACTCATGAAAGTGTTCACCATGAACGGTTATTGATATTTATAACGTCTGAGCTAGTCTTGTAATGTTTGACAGATCATGACGTGACATCCCATCAGTGTGTATGTATATTCTTTAAAGTTTGTGATTCATGTTGCTTTTATATAATTTATTTGTGGTTGCGTGACTAGCAAACTCAGGGATTCATAAATAATTACTGAAAATGATGCAGTGGGATCAATAACAGACACCGCTAATTGTTCTACGCCAGACATATCATGGTGGTAAACCTCACGATAATAGGAAGCTCGCGCGTGTGATTACTTCACGCTTCCCCAGTTGTGCGTCCATAAGAAATTAAGAAGGCATTTGATGGCACTAATTGCATTATTATCAGTAAGTAAAACTATTAGACCAGTAAATAAATTTAATTTAGATTACATTGATTTTATATTAGATGTATTGCTAGGCAATAATTTTAATTGTATAATTTAGATCTACAAGAAAACCGATGTTATAAACATGTTATTCCCATAGTATTTATCAGTTATGGAATCTGACTAATAAGACTACAAAAAAAAGTTATTATTTCAAAAATGCAATTTCTTTAATCATATTCTAACGTATATCAATCATTATCATACACAGTTCTGTATATATTATTTTCCTTCCTATCAGTTTGTTTTGTCCACTGGTGTCATTAATGTTTTGACAAAATGATGCACATATTTGGTGAAACAAATATTTATTTAAGATATAACAACTTTTACAACTCTGACAGTACAATATCTTGGTCAGTTGATGTCTTTATTTACTGCAGGGCATTATTAAATTTATTCTTTTGCATTTGAACAAGTATTTGTGTTTTGACAGGCAGTCATAAAAGGAGGGTCAAAGTGAGTTTTTCCCCTTCTCAACATGTGGGCTCCACATGAAGGGGAGCTATCTGGAACGGACTAGGAAAGAACAAATCTCACAGGCTATCAATTAGTTATTCTGTGAGACTTTAATTGCTTCTTGGAAGAAAAAATCACCACACCCAATTTTCATACCATCAAACAACAGACACTTTCTGGCACTCCTGGAGTTCTTTGAGGGAGTGTGCATTCTATTCACTTTACACAATGCCAGGGTCTGACTCTTAATTAATATTTCACTTGCTTCCTTTCACTTTCACAACTTCAAACTTTACAGCAGCTCCTAAATTGTGATCTCAAGCTTTGTTTCTTGTTTTGCGAAACTGGGAGATTACAGTGTAACTGACTTAACATTGCCAACTCATTGTTGAAATTCTATTAATTTCTTTCAGAGATCTTTATAAGTGGATTTGACAGTGCTACAATAGCGATGGAGATATCAAGGTCAGATGTGACTGCAGAGCATGCCAAGTTCACACAGGACAGTCACATCCTGAATGACATCGCACAGCAGACTCAGGATGCTGGGATGGGGAAGCTGTCGGAGGAAGAGCTGGTGGAGAAGGTGGAGACGCTCCTCCTGGAAAGGATAAAGAAGGGAGATAAATCTGCTTCCTTTCAGCTCGCACTCTTCTATTTTGAACAGGTGAGAACTTGTATTTTGTCAAGAGGTTTATGTGCTTCAAGTGGAGAACGATGTAGGATATGTATCACAATGTATAATAAGATACGATGTCCGTGCTATAAAACACGTCACAATACATGCTTTCTGAGTAAATTTGTTTGAATACAAAATAAAGCGTATCATGTAAATATTTTTTAGTTAAATATTGCTGTGCATTTGGGAATCATTCAGTGATTCAGTCCTAGCTTTGGTATGATGAGATACAAAACAAATCACCATCTGTTAGGAGGGATTTTTTTTTCAACAGAAGATGATGTGAATCTTCTTATGACTTAAACCAAACAGTATATTGGTGGTTCTAAAAATGTGCTTTTATTTCAAACTTGAATGTGTTCCATTTGAATCTGCTGTCAGATTGATTGTTTTGTGATATAATCCTTGCAATGTTGGCATCAACATCCTGACTTGGTGGTAACAAGAACAACTACTTTCAGGCCCTATATGACAAAGCTCGAGTATATTTTGAGAGATCGAAAGATTTCAACCACCAGTCCCTGTACCAGCTGGGTGTGATGCTGTATGATGGAATCGGTTGTGAACCAGACACAGTAAGTCTCCCATTTTATATTGGTTCTTAAATGTTTTGTTTGTTTCTTGCTTAACACAGCACTCGGCAATAGCCCAGCTGTATAATGGCAGCCTATAACTAACTGAGTCTGTACCTGACATTTTATTGATTGATATTATAAACAACGATCCATGCTGTCTGGGTATTATGACAAGATATCAACTAAGCAGTGATTCTGCTGGAGACAAATGGAATACAGATATAAACATATTGAAAAATTGAAAATAATGTTTAGGACACTTTGGATGACAATCAGTCAGTCAGAATATGAACCAATCTGAAAGCCTGACCAAGTGATTAAGTCTGACCACCAAATCCATTTAGTCGCCTCTTACAATCTCATGGGTTGCTGCCAGCCTGCTTGGTACTTTTTCTATGCCATAATCACACAGGGTTTGGTTCTTAAGATGTGAAAGCAATGATGTACTTCAAGGTCATATGAGTTCATCTGTACTTCAGAAAAAAACAAATTTTTGTCATCTTGGAAACTATTGTTTGCATGTCTGTGTAATACATGTGTGTGTCTCTGCGTGTTGTCTGAGTAATACTGACAGTGGTGGGTGACCTTGCCTGGATGAAACTACCAAGCTGACTGTTGTTCATTTCCTGATGTCGCGTGATTACATTGTCAATCGAGCGGAGACATACAGAACTACTTTAGGGGAATCCTCAATGTCTAAAAGTAATGTTAAAAAAGGATGGTATCATCATACGATTCTGGCTATAAAGAATGCAGGTTTTGAAACCAGACAGATCATATATGTTGGGTCACCGAAATGAAGAGTCCACTCAAAGTATAAGAAATCACTATAGGCTCCACAATGTCGTGTAGGCCACTATGCATCGGGAATGTCAAACTGCATCACCTCAAGCAGTAATCCCCGTCATCAGCAGCTCATCTACCCTTAGTATGGCTCAAACACATGTCCAAAGTTCACAGAACATTTATATTAATCCTTTTCAGAATCAACTTGGTTTGGATTTCTTTCCAGTTCTAGACATACAGGGTGAAACTTCTATTTCAAATGAATGACATTGTCGTAGCTACCATTTTATGGCTTTGTAAAACCAAGGAACGTAACTCCTATGGAATGTCTGGGACGGATAACGTCACAACAAAAACAACACTCCAAATTAGTATAGTTTGCCTTAAACAAGTAAAGTTTTGTGTTTAATAGTGAGTGAGTGAGTTGGGTTTAACGCCGCTTTTAACAGTATTCCAGTTATATAATGTGGGAGGAAAGCCCAAAGTGATGCAGGTCTCAATGTTTACCACTTCGGTGAAACCCACGAGCATGGTTATGGTGCTGACAAACCTTGAAACATAATTGAGGCGAACCGGGATTCGAACCCACAATCATAGGTTTCTGGCGTGTCCAAGGGACGCAACTCTGCACACCGAATCGCAGCGCCTTAGACGACTGGGCCACCCGTGCTCCCTTGTGTTTAATAGGATTGCTCTGGTATGATTTCTGTATCTGTCAATATAAGGATTAAATGTGTTCCACAGAAGCAAGGCGTTGAGTACCTGATGCGCGTAGCAACATCCACGATGCGGCAGGCCAAGCATCTGAAGCATGCTGCTGAGTACAACATCGGCCGCGCCTACTTCCAGGGATACGGGGTCAAGCGACAATCTGATGAGGAGGCAGAGAGGTAGGGGCTCATGACTAAAATATTAAAGGTGCAAGTTAAAGTCGTTGTTTTAAAAGTTGTCCATATTGTCTTCATTGTGAAATGGAGTAATTCCTTTTTAGAAAACCCTTTTTGTATGGTCCATGAGGGAGCATGGGTGTCCCAGATGCCAAAGGCACTGCAATTTGATTTGCAAAGTTGCATCCCTTGGGTACGACAGAAACCTATGATTGTGGGTTTGAATCCAGGTTCACCCTGATTGTTTCTAGGTTGGTCAGCTCCTTAACCATGCTTGTAGGTCTCACTAGAGTGGTAACTATCTGAGACCTGCGCCACTTCAGACTTTTCCTCCCACATAAAGCTGACTCTGGAAAACTGTTCATAAAACCAACTCACTGACTCACTCACTCACTGACTCACATATTAAAGCAGTGTCCGAAATAACTGCCTGCCCACCTGCCCGTGGCTGGTAACTTTTCTGTCGGGCTGCATGAAATTTTCCTCCACCTGCCCAACTGTCATGCAGATAATCTTAAGACGACTTACAATTTCAGTTTTATTATAACTCCTTGTAGATTCTCAAGTGATTGTTTGCATTATTTCAACTGAATCAAGATGCAAGTTGTCTCCTATCTTTTGGCAATTTATTCATGTTTATGATGTCTGAATGCAGGCAGGTAACTTTGAAGATGGGCAGGCAACATTTATGGGTGACCTCACCCGACTGTCTTGTTGGGTTTAAAATTATTTCAAAGTCTGGTCATAATTCATGCTGTCATTTGTGGTCCAGTAACTGACTCCGGCATATTTTGCCACTTCTGCATATTTGGGAGCCAGTGCATTACTCATCAGCTACATCAGACAAGAAGAAAATACATCCTGTACAGTATTAGCAGCTTGGGGAACCTAGTCAGGTCACATTGACCACACAGTGGTGCGTTAATGAATAATCATGACCAAGTTTAGGGTTGAAATAATAAATATTCATAATTCTTCTTTTTTTATCAAACTTAGATTGTATTGGATGAAAACGTTTGATATTAACATATTTAAGAACAAGTCATAAGTTTAGATGTGTGATATTTCTACATGTGGTGGGGTGGCCTAGTGGTTTAAGTGTTCCCTTGTGCGCTGAAGACCCGAGTTTGATTCCCCACATGGTACAATGTGTGAAGCCCATTTCTGGTGTCCCACCGCCTTGATATTGCTGGAATATTGCTAAGAGCGCCATAAACCATACTCACTCATTTTGTTCTAAGCTATTGTAATATATCTGTGTAGCCTTGTTTCGATGATTGTATGACATGATAAAATTTATTGGTGTGGCCGGAATAGAAGTGTGCTAGAAAGTGTCGGCTAGCCAAAACAAATTTTGGTTTCACAAGTTCGCTACTCACTCACCCTACATGTGGATAGCTGGTTCGTATTCCTGCTTGTGACAGATGGTGGCTGCTGGCTGCGGATGATGGGAACCCTACCGCCAGCATCAAGGCACAGACCGTCCTGGGGATGTTCTACTCAAGGGAGGACACTCTGGACCTCAAGAAGGCTTCCTTCTGGCACTCCGAAGCTTGTGGGAATGGCAGTCTAGAATCTCAAGGTCAGACAGTTGTTATTATGTACACACAACACAAATATCAGTTGTCTCTTAAGCAGTGGTGTGTGAAAAAAATTAAATTAATATATATATATATATGTATGTATGTATGTATGTATGTATGTATGTATGTATGTATGTATGTATGTATGTATACACACACACACATATGGGTTGTAGATGGATTGTAGTATGCTTTGTTTGTTGCTTAACGCCACACTCAGCAATATTCCAGCTATATAATAGCGGTCTGTAAATAATTGAGTCTGGACCAGACAATTCAGTGACTGACATCATGAGCCAAGTCAGCTAGCCTGATCACCCGATCCCATTAGTCGCATAGTCGCCTTTACGGCAAGCATGGGTTGCTGAAGACCTATTCTACCCCGGATATTGTAGTGTGCACCCCTGGTATCAAATTTAATGCAGTCTTTGTATGCTGATATTATTTTTTTCCAGTGCTAGAAAAGAAGAAATATTTTTTGTCCATGGCTTGATTGATACAAACATTTTGGAACTATAGTGCTGCTTATGTTAGAATTAGCAAATAAACTGATCTTGTGTGATTTTTTTTATTGTTGCGGCTGCTGCAGGTGCACTGGGAGTGATGTACGAACATGGCATTGGAGTCAAGTACGATCAGGACTCCGCCTACATCTGCCTGAAGGAGTCCTCCGACCGGGGCAACGTCTACGCAATGGGCAACCTCATCTCCCACTACTACCGCCGCAAACTCTACACCAAAGCTGCCGACCTCTCATCCAAGTATGATATACACATACTAATTTATACCCTCAATTAAACCATGGAAACGGTTCTTTAATTCAGGTATATAAGATAGCTAAACGATAAATCACAAAGAACAATGAAGAACGAGGCATGGTTTATTTCACAATATAACATATTTTTTCATGACGTCATGTCTGGAGATTCGAACATATGCTCAAAATTTGATGAGGTCGTAAATTGGACAATGCTATTCTAAAGATGTTAGTGAGTTATCCCCTTTAGATGTATTTGGGCATTGCAGATAAACGCAATGGCCAAAGCATCCAAAGAGGGAGACATATGGCATATTGCAAACAGCGGAACATATATGTTGAGCCCCTCTAGCTATGTATGTATATCAGTACTAAATTTCATGACAGTTTCTACAAAAATGACTGAATAAAGGCCATAAATAGGTTTCTCAACATGTCTGTCATTACAGATTTTTGAATTACGACCTTGCTTTGACCTTTGCACTTTGACCTTACTGAAAGCTGAAATCTCTTATGACCAATACCCAGCCCTTTATTTTCACAATATGTTGAAATTTGGTACATGTGGAGTTAGTAGTGGGCTCAACTCGCTTGTTTTATTTTTCGGGATACTTTAAATTTTGACCTTTATTTGACCTTCACACTTTAATCATGCTCCTACTTTCTCTTATATTTCATTTCCTCGCGCAGTGAACATTATGTTCTCAGAACCGCTAGACCAATCAAGCTGACTTCACATGATTGTTCCCACCAATTATGAAAACTGAATAGGTTCAAATCTGATTTTACATATGGCCACAACGGCAGCCATATTGAAAAAGATATTGATGGCCAATATTCAGCAACTGTTTTAAAATTAATAAAATTGGGCATGTGTGTAGTTTTATGTGGGATTTAACACACATTTGAACATCAACGCTGACCGCATCTTTTGTGGAATGTCTGTACGCCGTCTTTGTTGACAATTTAGACTGTTGACTACATGTCTAGATGAGCTACAGTGCTGTGGCAGCAGTAGATTTAACAACAAATTTGTATATAGCCAGCAGGGCTTGCTCTTTTCAAAAAGTTACTGGCCCCTCTCCAAACTGGCCTACAACTAAACATAGTGACTGTGTTACCCAGGAGAACTCTGAAAATTTTAGAACTCTTTTCACCCCCCAAATGTTTTTTCCTGCACTCTATGATTAAATCTTGGCTTCCATTTGCCTCATTTTGTGGCAATTTATGAGCGAATATGGATGTTGTTATTGTACAGAACATTACAGAATGGCAGCCGGTTGTCATTCTACCAAGATGATCGGGATATATCTTTCTGTGAGTTAACAATTCACACGACCTCATCCCCCACCTAAATTTTTTTTATCGAAATGACATAATTCACTAGCAGTGTCCAATTGAAGAAATTAAACATACACATAGAACGGGTGAAATTTTGACAAACCAGATGGGTCATCTACTTACATTTCAGCAAGCCCTTTGCAATTTTAACTGGCCACGGGCCAACAGGGCAGCAGTTAAATCAACCCCTGTGTGGCACTATTTTTATATACATGTTGATTTCCCATGCCATATTTTTGACAATAATGTTATTGAAAATGTATTGACTAAATATTTATGTCCAATTTTCAGAGTAGCCATGTTGGAAGATATACAACTTATCGCACAAGAGACAGAGTGCCTGCCAGCTTTCATTTCTAAGGGTATTGCCTTGGCCAGTTTCTACCATGGTCGTTGCCTGCACGAGGGGCATGGAATCAAACAGAACATACAGCTAGCTCAGCAATACTACTCCAGGGTAAGATGGCATGGGTTTAAACATCGTAGTGCCACACCAGTGTCCCTCCCCACTGGAACCTGTATGATAGATGTAGTGCTACAGTTGCCGTGTGGAACCTGTATGATGGATGTAGTGCTACAGTTGCCGTGTGGAATGTGATGGCACATGGTCCTGTGTAGTCATCTTCCCGAGGATAAGGCTTAGACTGATTGTTAAAGTCCAGTTTCCACCCTTGCCGAACTAGGCCGGAATTTGCAGGCTCGATTGTAGCACCACCAGTTGCCATTATGAGTTATGTCCCTTCTATGTCCTTCCTATTGACCAATCAGATTTAATCTCTCATATCACTTGCATTTGCTGCAAACAAAATGGCAGCGCCCAGTCAGGACAGGTCTCACCCTCAAATCACTTGAGCGCCTTGATTAAAAACATATGGTACATATCCCTTACAAATCCTGCATTTGACCGAAATCTAAATGTTGAAATCTATGTTGACTACAAACCAGATTGTTTATTACACAATTTTTATTTGATTATGCATAGACTCGTTTGTCCAGTCAGATAACTTCCTTGCCTCGGGATGATTGTGTTCAGTGAACAGGTCACAAATCAGGTAAAGATAAGCAACCTACATCGCGGTAAATAATTGGATTGGTGACCGTGTTCGGTAGCTTGACTCTTGAGAATCTCTACGGCTTTGGTCCTGTCCCACACTGAAGCACATGTAACACATGTGGTGTCTCCTTAGGCAATTGAGCTTGTTCAAAACATGCACTGAACTGGGTTTACAATGAATTGTGCCTAATTCCGTATGCTTTTATTTCAGTCGTACCAGTTCGACCCTGATATATGTGCTCGGCTCCAGAATGTGACACAACATGGGGGGATATAGACTTGCTTCACCTCAACACCATCAGGCTGTCAGCTGTGATATTATCTGAGAGTTGTCTCCTGGAGATCTCCAAACCTTCTATTGCTGCCTTCATCTTGTTAGTTAAAGCTGTGTTTTGTGCAGCAATACAATCAGATTTCATGCAAAGTTTGCTGAATGCTTAATTGATCACTGAATAAAGTAAGTCATTTATTAAAACCTATACTTGGTATGTTGATAATAAATATATTTTAAAAATATTTTTTTATTAAAAAAACGCTTTCCTGTGAATGTCTTCAAGAACCATTATCCACAGTGTGTATTGATCTCCTTATAAGTACAGTGTGCAACTTTGTCCACTAGTCCGAATCCTGTATCTAGTGCAATTCTGTACGGTCTGGTAAGATCAGTTAATAAATGCCATATAACATTATCTACTGATAATGATGCTGAGAGCAAAGATTGGAGCAAAGGTTTTGGTACAGACTGTAAGTACATTATCATAATTATTGTATATGCCTGTTAAAGTTTCTGCTCCCTCGAACAATGATCAATGATTTAGAAAGCATGCCCCTACACCAGTCACTTAAAGCAATCCAAATAGTTACCTTTTATTATAGATATTCATCTTTAATATCTTTCATAATATGCCACACTGCTGGGAACCAAACTCTTCCATGATGTTAACGCTGTTATAACCATGAGCTTGCAATTTTTTATTGATGATGTTTCAATTTAAGTTGTGTTCACTAACATTCAGCTGTTTCAATGTTATTTACATTGAGGAAACAATTACTCGGACAGATCAGTTTCATATGTTTGCTATTTACCCACTGAAACCACTTTTCGTAATATCCCCAATTCAGAATCCAAATCCGGAGTAGTGCCATTTAGCCCAGTATTACGGACTTCTGTCTGGAGATTGTTATATACATTATTTATTACTTGTTATTTATCATGACTTGTGTAAACTGTGATAGTGACTCCATGTGCCTTGAACTGCTGATGTGAATGCTTCTACCCTGTTACCATCATTGTTTACCAACATGTTTATATGTGACTCAGTCCTTTACTGAAAACGGAAATAAATCCTATTTATGAATTTGAATGTTTGTTTTTGTGTTACTAAGAAATTTGCCTGTGACACTGGAAAAGGTGGACTTAGCAACTGTCATTTGTAACAGGGTGAGGGTGAGGGTGAGGGTGAGGTGTGTGTGTGTGGTGGTGTGTGTGTGTGTGGTGGTGGTGGTGTGTGCATGTGTGTGGTGGTGTGTGCATGTGTGTGGTGGTGTGTGCATGTGTGTGGTGGTGTGTGTGCGTGCATGTGTGTGGTGGTGTGTGCATGTGTGTGGTGGTGTGTGCATGTGTGTGCATGTGTGTGGTGGTGTGTGCATGTGTGTGGTGGTGTGTGCATGTGTGTGGTGGTGTGTGTGCGTGCATGTGTGTGGTGGTGCGTGCATGTGTGTGGTGGTGTGTGCATGTGTGTGGTGGTGTGTGTGTGTGTGGTGGTGGTGGTGTGTGTGTGTGTGTGGTGGTGTGTGCATGTGTGTGGTGGTGTGTGCATGTGTGTGGTGGTGTGTGTGTGTGCATGTGTGTGGTGGTGTGTGCATGTGTGTGGTGGTGTGTGTGCGTGCATGTGTGTGGTGGTGGTGGTGTGTGCATGTGTGTGGTGGTGGTGTGTGTGTGTGTGCATGTGTGTGTGTGGTGGTGTGTGCATGTGTGTGGTGGTGTGTGTGTGTGGTGGTGGTGTGCGTGCATGTGTGTGGTGGTGGTGTGTGTGTGCGTGCATGTGTGTGTGTGGTGGTGGTGTGTGTGTGTGGTGGTGGTGTGCGTGCATGTGTGTGGTGTGTGCATGTGTGTGTGTGGTGGTGTGTGCGTGCATGTGTGTGGTGGTGGTGTGTGTGTGCGTGCATGTGTGTGTGTGGTGGTGTGTGTGCGTGCATGTGTGTGGTGGTGGTGTGTGTGTGCGTGCATGTGTGTGGTGGGGATGTGTGCGTGTGTGTGTGTGTGTGTGTAACATGTACTGGGGGAGCATAAAATATTGTTACGCAAAATGCGTGTGTGTGTGGTGCGTCTGTCTTGGGACCATAATTTGCTCCCCTCTCCCCTTTTTATGTAACATTATTTTAGGCTACCCCAGCACATGTCAGACTCCCCCTCCATATAATAAATCACCAGTCCCTAAACAAATAATGTTCAAATTATTTTTTTCTTGTTTGAAATAAAAGAAGTATTTTTTTCATTCCCCCATATAGTTGTGAAAATGTTTGGCGATCCCCTTTCGCTGTCCTTTTGATGACCACCCCACCCCCAATAAGTTGACCATGGCCAGTCCTATGTCAACATTCTTCAACCTGAGTTCACCCATTACAAATGAAGCGGACATAAAATATTATGAGATATCTACACAATGCATGACGGTTTTTCCATCGAAGCCCCGTTGGCATCGTTTTTTCACTGAAAGATCTAGCTTGTTGAAAATGCTCGGCAGAAAGAACTAAAGTTACGTAGTCTATTGTAGCCGTCAGTCACGGCAACACTTCCCTTTCTTCAACAAGAAAACTCTAGACTAGCCTATCTAACATTCGCAAACGCTGTCTTGGACCATATAATATCGTTCCTTGACCTGTAACAATGATTTCACGGAATGACAACTCTCAGCCAATAAATAAAAGAAGGTTTCATTTAAATTTAATCACATGTGTCGGATGTGATTTAAATGTTCATGCCAGTAGCTTCCAGAGCTAAGCATTTTCGCTTTCACGCACCGCTGTCTCCCTCGCTGTGACGTGTTTAGTGACGTTATCTCCCTGACGTCATCACTCTGTGTGCATCGATGACGTAGAACGTAAACATCCTGTTTAATATTATTGTACACTTGAATCATCGGATGCAGATTTATTAGTTAGTCTTGAATCATCGGATGCAGATTTATTAGTTAGTCTTCCGTTATTGTGTCTTCCTCAACTCCACATGAAGTTCCACCACCATGTCTTTCTATGATAAAGATAGAAAGGTGAGACTACGCCTAAGTTTTGAGCCAAAGGAACGATTTCCGGAGAAACTTTTTGACGTGGCAAACGACAACTTCCTGATCAAGTGGGGGTTCAGTGGGGAATCTGTGGTTGTAGATCCCGAGGAATTTGAAGCCAATGTCCTGAAGTGTTACCCTGGATTTCTACAGATTTCATCTTTTGCTAATCTTCGGAGACTTTTCAGACAATATGCCTTTTACTGGAAGATTAACAATGATGAAACCTTTGAGTTTTCCCATGAATTCTTTGTGCGTGGTCACCCACACCTTTTGGAGGAGATTGTGACAAGACGTAAAACTTTCTCCCATCGATTCTATAACCCACAAACTGAACGTCCAAAAGCCTCAACGCTACAACTGACATCTACCCCGTTGAATAAACAAAGGACGTCCTTGAGAAGATCTACACTGGAAGCAAAGGTTTGTACTCGCCGATATCCGGAAGAAAGCGACACCTCCTTGAGATCGACAGAGGATGAATCTCACGAACAGCTTCTTACACCGTCTTTCCCCGCATCAGGTACCGCCCCCACCCCGACCAGGAAGTCAGAGTACCGAGAAAGACCAAAGCTAGACCCAGCTGTTTTGGACGTGTATGCCCGCAATGAACTGACAGAAGACGAAATATTGATGCTTTTGAAGCGCCGTGATACGATGCTTGGTCGGCTTGAACGCCCCGATCAGCCCGAGACCCCGGGGTGGGGCTGTGAGTGGATGTTCATGTTCTGGGATGTAGAGGGCAGTGAGCCTGAAGCCTGGACATGCCAAGCTGTGCCACACAGCAGGGAAGATCTGGATTGTAACGTTTTTTGTGAAGGAGAGGTGGGTATTGGTCTACATGAAATGATACCACTACGAACTCTCGACCAGTGTCCAGTTACGCAGACTGACCCGATAACTGTTACTGCTAGTCATGTATCAGGGTCAGGTGTCGCAGTGTCCACGACTGGAATGACCTCCCCCTGCTGTTCCTGCAGGTGCCACATGGAGGGCGAGAATATACCGCCTAGAGAAACAGCTAGCCTATAGATGTATTACATATTTTTACATGGATTTCTGGAGGCTCTGAACATGGATGCCAAGAACAACCAAACAGAAGAACTTTGAATATATTGATGCATTAATAATCTGATTTCTACAACCAACCTCTAGAGGCTGAAATATGTGACACAGAGACTCATGTGAACGGCCAGTTATAAATGTGATATACAGACACCATAACCTACACATTTAGAATGTAGGTGTTTAACCTGTACCTTAAACCTTACCCCAAAATGCAAATGAATATATTTCAATTGTTTACAGTTATTCTCCCCACTACCAATTTGACCCCAAGCTGTGCGAGCAGGAGTGTCTCGGTTACTATGTTCATTGTTATCGTATTTAACTATATATATATATAATCTGAATGTGTATGTTTATCCATCTTTCTGTGAATGTTAACAAAGTGTTGGCACAGAATTCACTACATTACGTTTTTTCGAGCATTATAGTGTTATTTAATTCTTTCATTACTGACAAATGCTGACACTGTCATAAAACTCAGAATAATGGGCCACAATCCCATATTCATGATTTAAAACCCCCAAAAGCGCCTTATCCAAAAATGGGATGTTCCACTGAAGGAGACGGATGCCTTATTTGAATTGCTTATGTAGCGACGAGTCCAAAATTTTACCCGATTTCCTTTAAATCTCTAAGTAAATGGTAATATATGTGGCTTCAGGCATCCATTTCGTTGTGATAGGATTCATATCTCGATATTGACGTCCCGAAAAACACACTCGAAAACATTTCCAGTAGTAGCTCAACTAAACATCTTTAGTACATCGGTGTCAGCAAAACAACCTGTGCATTGATATGTCTTGCACATGCAGAGTATTGTAAATTTATGTTCCTACATTTTTACACCGTATATCTACTGTGTCTTTATTGATGCATGGTCTGACGATAAGATACTGTATCGTGGCACAGAGTGTCGTGATGTACCGGGCGGTGATCGTTACAACACAGGGGTCGATTTAACTGCTGGCCTGTTGGCCCGTGGCCAGTTAAAATTACAAAGGGCTTGCTGAAACATAGAGTAGATGGCCTATCTGGCTAGTCAAAATTTCACCCCTTCTCATTGTATATTTTCTTTTTTAAATGGATCATCTCGGTAAAATGACAACCGGTCGCCATTTTGAAACGTCTTTATTTACCCATAAATCGCCATGAAATGAGGCAAATGGAAGCCAAGACTTAATCTCGGAGTGCAGGAAAAAACGTTCTAAAATTCTAAAAAGTCCTGCTTGATGCTAGCCCCCTCAGGCTCGGCCACTTCCTCGCCTCCACCATTTAGTTGAAGGCCAGTTAGTTTGGAGAAGGGGCAGTCACATTTAAAAGGACCGGGCCCTGCTGGTTACATGCCAGTATGTTGTTAAATCGACCCCTGTCATCATTAGTCACTGATACCGCCCGAAAGTGTATCCAGGGTGGTGATGGATGTGTTCAGCTGTTCATGACACTATGAAGATATAATGCAGAGCATATATACATAGATCTAAGTATAATTGCTTTATGGGTGTTAATTAAAATATAATAAACCCAATCCAATTTCGTATTTTCATTCCCAGATGTATATTGTTTGTTGAGGTCAAATCAAGTAGGAGTATGAATCCAGAATTTTACCACAGGGCTTTAGTTTTACCAGTGATGAATATAGAGCTATAACAACAGGTATGCAGGTATGAATGCTTCCCAAGGATTGCCTGTCACAGACTTGATTCGCTGTGCAGAGTAGCCTCCCTTGGGTACGCCAGGAACCTATGATTGTGGGTTCAATTCCGGGCCCGCCCCGTTTATGTTTCTAGGGTTGTCAGCACCATACCCGTCGTGCTTGTGGGTTTCACCAAAGCGGTAAACGTTACACCTGTATCACTTCGGGCTTTCCTCCCACAATGAGTTGACCGTGATATAACTGGAATACTGTTCAAAGCGGCGTTAAAAACCAACTCACTCACTCAAGTAATATGAAGGAAACAATGTTGTTAGCTGCGATAAATGTGATTGTGAAAGGTAATTAACGA